AAACTAAGAAGCTACCCTGACAGGAATAAAAGGATTAATAAGAATTGATGGTCAAGAAGACAGTCGGAGCAAGTTTATTTCAATAGAGCTAGCTTTGTTTTGTGATGGAGTGAAATGACAGCAGTGAACCGCCTACTTCGCCTCCCCCAAACGGATTTGAAGCTACCCTGTAGCTCCCCACCCATTTGCCCCCCCCCAAGCTCCCCCCAACAGATCACCCCCAACTTATTGTGCACAAGAAGTTTAAAGATTTAACGATTGTGCATTAAAGACTTGGACTCCCCGGGGACCTACGCAGTGTACATTTTAAGTGTGCCTACAGCACTGCCTTCGAACACAAACCAGCCATCCCAGCTCCATGACAGCTCTCCCATGCATCAACGTGCCCGATTATACCACCTGCCGGTAGGATTCACTGACTTCCGACGGACAGGAAGCATGCCACGACGAGTGCGGCTTAGGGGAAAGAATGTACTGACGTGACTCTCGGATATATCAAGTAACAGGACGCCACCACAGCGGACTGTGTATCTTTCTCCCCTGCTACCTTCTCCCTAGTACACCACACCACAGCCCCCTCCAGCCACGACACCGGAAGCTGATCAAGTCGCGTACGACACCACCCTCATAGGACCTCATCACCCACAACGATGAGTCCGCCCCTACCGGAGTGAGGTGGAACCGGCTAGGTGTCCTGGTGCAGTATTTAGAGGTAACAACCTGTGAGCTGAAACGCCCAGAAGGACAGAGGAGATGAAAGTGGACTTCAGGTACGGATCACTGTCCCCCGCCCCACCCTCCGTTATTGACACCCCAACAACCCTCTGTGGAGTCCTGATCGTATCATGGGCACCCCATCACAGGACTCACTATGGACCGCCCAACAGCACCCTATCAAGAAGGACCAGCAGTTAGGTATGTACTTATCCTATCGTCAGTCATGGAAAGCCCAGCAGCCTTGCACAGATGTATGGAGCGAACAACACTGCAACATCGAGTCCAATCACACCTCCACGTCACCGTGTTGTTCGCAGGATCCCCAGTCAGTGGACAAACAGAGACTCCAGGCAATAGCGCAAAGCTGATGAACATATGCTCGAGCCGCCAGCCTCACCCACGCATGCAGTATTGAACTATCGCCTAGCACGAGGCCGTAAACACCTGTCCGACCCCACACACCTGCCATTGTGTAAAACCACCCCACCCTCCCCGGCCTGATACTGCGGGACCCTACCTGACAATACCACCCACCACAATAAACCGTACAACAAGTCACTATATACTTGCCCACATACTACACATTACTTCATAACATGCATACACAAACAAAGATTGCCACCCAGATCACAAGTCATATATTATAAAACGTACAACCGTAACACTATAAAAACAATAACTACTTAATCAATAGAATAGTATTTTAATATCGCAAAAAATATTAAATATCTCTCACAGCACGAGCCAAGCAATTTCCAAGTCTGTTACAATCCTTTTCACCATACGTTGGCAATAAAAAAAAATACTTCATACATATACTAAAACTGCAAAAAGGGAGATAATATACCCTTACCCAACCCGTCAAGTGCACACCAGGGTGAAATACAAGAAAAATACAAAAGTACATCAATACTTATAGACTACACTTAAAGGTATTATCTAAATCCTATCGAAATAAAAAATAAAAACAATGAATATAACTAATACATTATCAAATGCAAATTTAATCTGTTAATATATCAAAAGGCTGAGTCATTCCAAAATAATTCTGCTACATGAGATTTACGTTCTAGATTCTGAACATAAACATACAGAACCCATGACATTCCCCATATCCCATATAAAGCCAGTTTAATGCAATACTGTAATTTGTAATGCCAGAATAATAGACTGGCCCTTTCATCAGGCTGACAGAGGGATAGCGGGCATCAGTCCGCTGTAACTAGCATTGCCAGATGACCTGGAGGGATTAGTATCTGTTGGAAAAAAAAACATCTGCCCTTACGGTATTATAGACCTCGGGCCTTATTTCTAATGATTTGAGCCAAGCTATTATTAAACCTACTATATAACCCATCCCCACAGGATTGATGTTTCTTACCAAACACAGTAGCCATCTGTGGATGCGAGGTCTAATGTGAGATAACCTTTTCACCATATGGATGTCAGCGATTCGAATAATAATGACCAATACAGAGATCTCGATAGTAACTATCAGACAAGCCGCAAGAAAGCCACTCAATATATCCTGTCGACTAACAGGGACAAAGCGACTATGACATCAAAACCTAAGACATAAATTAATATTAGTGCTGAAACCAAAAACTAATCAAAGAATAATATCCTAAAATATTGGTCGGACGAATTTAGTTATGAATTAATTTGTTTTTGAGCCAATAACCAGGACCTGATACATCTGCAAGAAGAGCAAAGTGTAAGGTTACTCACCCCTCACTGTAATTCTATAGCAAGTATTATCCCGAGTAATGCCCTCCACCATGGTGAATACTACAGGAAAGAATAACGTGATCCGCGCGTTGGCGAATTAAAACCATAAGGGATTGGTTAGCCACACACCAAAACTGTAAAACTACGTAACAAAACTCATTACAGCTTGATGTAAGTAAGGGGGAGCAGTACAAACGCCCCTGTGATGGCTAAGACCCAAAACACCTACGCAAGTACACAGAACCTATTGTCAGTCTGGGAAGCCAGTGGCTGAGCAGGTAACACCACTCCAAACCAAAGCATGTCACAGACCTTGTAGACCCAATATTAGTGCTAAGTAATTAGGAAGCTACAAATCATCTCCTCCCAAAACACATCAAAACCCCACCACACAGTAAGAGAATGATAAAAGTAACCCTCACAAAAAAAGTCAAATCATCTCACCCACACTCAAACCATAAAACACACCGAAGCCAGAATAATAACCTCTAGATCAACCACCGTGTGGTAGGCTTCCAGAAGTGTGCGAGAACAGCCTACAGTGCCCCCTAAGAGTTAAAACACTACAATTTTGGTAACAAGTGTCGATAAATTAAGATATTTTAAGGTTACACCCCAATATAGGTCATATCAACCACAACCCAACATAAAAATGAATAACACACAATGCACTGGTTATATAATATAATTAATAATATATAATGTGACTTTTAGTAATACCAATGTTCTGCACTACAATCAGTCTACTTAACGTTTAGAAACTTTTTTAACCAACACAGTTATTTAGTGTAGCCTACAAGATACAAATACGTTACACATGAAACACCCTCAACCTACGGAAAGGAACCCTCTCCTCCAACAATCTTACTGTCTAAGGTACAGAGATCACTGGGCCATTCTGACCTATAGTGATGTCTATAAGTAAAAAGACCACTAGGGGTACGCCACAACTGTAAGATGCTCTTATACCATGAAATTAAACTCAGAACTATTCCCTCGATGCAAAGTGGGGCAGGTTGGGCACGTTGATGTGAATCCGATACAAAATCCCGCGAAGTGACTTATATCGGAAGAAATGAAACAAAGTCCATTCTACTGTACATAGAGATTGTACATTACGATGTAATGCCTACAGGTACACCTAAATGACGAACTCCAGTAAGATGACCTATACAACATCTAGAAATCTAGGAACACACACCTATAGTCAAAACTCCGCTCTTACTTAAAACAGGATGTCACCTCGTAAATTATATCAGAAACATTAACCACACCAGTAAACAAAACAAAACCCAGAATCTACACCCCTAACGCCCCCCCATTCAATTCGCATTACCATGGTACCTCGCCCATAGTAAAAGTTTAAAACTAGTCAACGAATTACCGATTGTGTGTATATCAACCAACCCAAACCAAATCCAAAACCCAGAACTGACATATGTCAACCACCCCCAACACTAATCCCCCCTAATTCTTCCTCCCATTACAATTGCACCTCTGTTAATTCTACCACCCCCCCAATGAAACCTAGCCGACTCCATAAAATACATCATAGGATTAACACATCTGGTAAGCCCGTGATAACACCTAAAACCCAACTATGTAAAACAGCAAAACTGTCAAAAGAAACATGTCCCTTAAGTCCTGCGTCCAATACCACCCCAACTACTGTATGAAGTAATACATCAATTAACTGTCATATACGACATAACAAATATGAAATAAACCAAAATGTCGTCTGCAAGAAGGTCATCCAAAATGCACAACCCATGGTGAAATATGGCCTACCCACCATAGAAGGTAATATCCTAGTCAAGGAGACTAAACTTAAACATGCCCCAAAAGAACCCTCACAATCCCTGCCCAGGTGCACTTCATCAAGTGCAAAATACAAAAACACCCACCCACCCTACTTCAAAACGCCACCACAAACACTATGTCAAAAGGACAATGATAATGACATTTATGTCAAATGTTGGACAAAAAACAGATCAGATCTCCAAAAACAAAGCGTGAAACACAGAAGAACAACCCAATGTGCCTCACAAAATCAAATCACCCCACCCTAATATACTACAATGAAACACACATCTCAGTCAGCCGCCATAAGCCCCCACCCAAAACTACATAGTGCTATCTTCTTGGTCCCCACATAATAGCTACTCTCCCCCCACCACCTATCTCTCCCCCCCCATCACAGACACCAAATCATCGCACCCCTCCTACTATGTGCAATAACCAACTGCAGTAGAAATTTAAACGAAAAAAACCAGAGCCCCAGTCATCCTCATCCCCCTAACACCACAACCTCACCTCCACATATTCCCCTAACAACCTACCACATACCCCCCCACTTAACCCTCCCAATCACTCTTTCCCCCCCCTATGTAATACTTCCCACCACAACACTCCAACAACATCCCTAACATACCCTCTTGTCCAACAATCCCCCCCCCCAGAAACCCCCAAAACCATTCTAACACAACCCCCTAACTAAAACATTCCTCCCCACACAACCCCCCCCCCCCCACCCCCCAACAATACCCCCAACGTGCCTAAAAGAATGATGCCACGACACTAACCACCACACCACAACACCACCACACACCCAACCACAACACACAACCCCCCCACCACCCCACCAAACCCCAACACACCCACAACAACCAACCTAACAAACAAACCCCCACCCCACCAAAACCCCCCCAACCCCCCCCAACACCAACACACCCCACCCCACAAACCACAACCAAACCCCCCCAACAACCCCCCCAACCACCACCAACCCCCCCCACCCCCCCACCACCCACCCACACAGAACAAACCACACAACCCTCACACCACCACCCACCACCAAAACAAACCCCACACAAACACCCAAACCCAACAAACCACCCCCACACACACCAAAACCCACACCACACCACACCACCTCACACCCACACAACCCACACCCCCACACCACAAACCAAACCACACAACACCACCCACCCACACCCACACACCCACCCCCCACAACACAACCAACAAAACACACCCACACAACCCCCCAACCAACAACACCCCAACCCACCCCACCAACCACACCCAACACCACCCCAACCAATAACACAACCCAAAACCACCCCCCCAACCAACACAACCACACCCCACCACACCCCCACCCCCACCCCACCCAAAACCAACACCCACCCACCCCCCCCCCCACACAACCCCCACCCCCCCCAAACCCCCCCACACCACCCCCCCCCCCCAAAACCCACACCAACACAAACCCACAACAAAACCCAACCCCCACAACAACCCAACCACCCACACACCACCAACCACCCCACCAACAAACACCCACCCACCACAAACAACCCAAACACCCAACCCCCCAACCACCCCCAACACCCAAACCCCCCAAACCACCACACCCACACCCACAACCCCACCACACACCCCACCAAACACCACCACACCACCCAACACCACCCCACACCCACAACCACACCACCCACACCACACCCCCCAACACCAACAACACAAACCCCCCCAACAAACACCACCCAACCACACTCTAATACCCACCACCACACACAACCCCCCCCCCACCAAACAAAAATCCCACCCACCCCACCCCACCCCAACCCCCCCCCCCAAACAACACAACACCAACCAAACAATACACAACACCACCACACAACAACCACACACCCCAAACCAAACACCCACAATATAACCCACAACCACCCCAACAAACCAATAACCACTCCCATCCAAAAACTTACACAACCCCCATTAACCCCCCACACAAATCTCTCAACAACCATCCATCCACCAACCAAACACCCCTAATTTCATAATCCCCCTACCTAATCATTTCTATCTACAACCCAAATCACAAACAACATACAAACCAACCAATCCCCCCCCCCCCAACCCAACCACCAAAAACTCACAAAACTACCAAACCCTCCATACACTACCACCCCCCCACACCCACCCACCACTAAAATCACAACACCATTAATAAAACTATCCCTCCACAATTTTTCCAAAAATCTTTAATACAATACTTAAACCCCCCCCCTCTCACAACCTCATAAAAAAACCAACCCACCACATCCCCCCCCCTCCCCATATCTCCCTACACCCACCCCTACCACTACACCCCCCCCATCCTTCTTACCCCAAAACACTACCCCCCACTCAAATATTTAAACCACTATTCCTTCAATTCCTCCCCCTCATATTACCCAACTCTCTCATTTTTCTTCCCCCCCCCCCACACTCAATTTATCTAATTTCATATTATCATTAACCATACCCTCACACCTTCCCATATTTCAATTGCCCCACATATACATTGTACATATCTCACAACTACCCACCTATTTCCACTATTCAGAGAATTGCCCCCCCCAATACTACCTTCCATTAATATTGCCCGTCCCAACTAAAAATTATTTCATTTTTAAATGGCCTAACCCAGCTCATCTGAATTACATGGAAATCCCATTGATGATATGTGAATGCAAACCAAGTCACCCGTCAACAAATCTCTGTCTGCCCAATATTTAGAATTGATGAGTCAGCTATGCAACCACACATAACATCCACGAAAATCACGCCTCGAATACTCTGAAGATTCTAAATTCTTAGTTTTACAATGATTTCATCATCGCTACTGCACGTCTCCTTTAAGGCTCAGTGCAGAGAGAGAGATAATAAAAAATAAAGAATAAAAAACACTTCTAAAGAATAAATTTAAATTTAAAATAGAGTTACAGTTACTATTTACAATATACAAGTGCACATGGTGCACACAATGTAAGGTGACAGCAGGTACAGTGAAGTAAAGTGACGTATGATGGGCAGTAAAGTGACTTTATGAACTGTTCTTGTGGTGGGAGGTTCTTGTCCTGATGGACCGCAGTCTCCTGCCTGAGGTGAGTGGTTGGAATAGTCCATGTGCAGGGTGAGAGGGGTCGGCTGTGATACGGCCTCGAGCTCGGGCGACGTACAAGTCCTGCAGCGATGGAAGGCTGCGGCCGATCACTTCCTCTGCAAAGCGCACAATGCGCTGTAGTCTCTGTTTGTCCCTGACTGTGGCTCCAGCGAACCACACGGTGACGGAGGAGGTGAGGATGGACTCGATGATGGCCGTGTAGAACTGCACCAACATCTGTGCAGGCAGCTTGGCTTTCCTGAGCTGCCGCAGGAAGTACATCCTCTGCTGGGCCTTCTTGATGAGGGAGCTGATGGTCGGCTCCCACTTGAGGTCCTGGTTGATGGTGGTGCCCAAGAAACGACAGGACTCCACAGAGGTGATGGGGGAGTCCATCACGGAGGGTGGGGGCGGGGGGGACAGTGCTCTTCCTGAAGTCCACAATCATCTCCACTGTCTTCTGGGCGTTCAGCTCCAGGTTGTTACCACTGCACCAGGACACCAGCCGGTCCACCTCCCTCCTGTAGGCGGACTCATCGTTGTTGGAGATGAGTCCAATGAGGGTGGTGTCGTCCGCGAACTTGAGGGTGCAGTGGTTGGTGTACAGGGAGAAGAGCAGGGGAGAAAGAACACAGCCCTGTGGGGCTCCTGTATTTATAATCCGAGAGTCCGAGACATTCTTCCCCAGACGCACTCGCTGCTTCCTGTCCGTCAGGAAGTCAGTGATCCACCTGCAGGTGGAATCGGGCACGTTGAGCTGGGAGAGCTTGTCCTGGAGCAGGGATGGCAGGATTGTGTTGAAGGCAGAGCTGAAGTCCACAAACAGGACCCTGGCGTAGGTCCCCGGGGAGTCCAGTATTAATGCACAAAGTTAAATCATTAACTTTGTGCACAATATTGAGGACATTATTTTGGGGGAGCTATTTGGAATGGGGTGGTGAGCTACAGGTAGCTTCAAATCTATAGGTTGGAGACGACTGCTTATCACAGTCAATCACTCAACACAAAACAAAGCAACAGCTATTGAAATAATTGCTAACTGACTTCTTGACATCATTCATATTAATCCAATTAATCCTGTCAGGAGCAGACTTAGATTTAGACAGGAATCCTGGCTAGTTTCTTTGGACTGAAGCAGCTGAAGTGCTAAAATTCAGTTTTTTTGCCTTTTAAAGCATAGAAAATTATGTTCAGAATGTGAGATGTTTTACAGGTAACACAAAAACCATGGCAAAAGGTAGCTTGATTATAACTTGATTGGCAAGAGTATATTTTGAATGAATATTTTCCCAATTTGTCATTTTCTTATGTTAAGCCGGGGGTACCTAACTTTCCGACCACTAAAACATTTACTATGTAATGAAATCCATATCCATCAGAACAGTTTGGTTATCTTATCAGCTCTCAGCTTTCATGTTTATTCCCATATTTGTGGTCTCATTTGTTCACAAATTGTACTTTTACAAGATTCACTCTGAGGGAAAATGATGAGAATGATTTGTGAAGAAAAAAACACATTTCAGTGAATGCTTGTTTCATATGAAAATCTTGTTTTTTATAGTTATAATGTGTAATATGTATTTTTTGAGAGTATGTTTTTCAAGCATGGGAACTCTACAGACATAATATTCACTCTATTTTATGTTATAGCAATTTCAAAGCAATTCTTACAGATGTTATGTTACTAAATCATTATACAGCCCTATAGCTTTTCTTTAAGGCACGTTTTTAAACAATTAGTGTTCAATGCATGAGACCCAATCAATGCCACTTGAATGAATAAACAAATCATCTTTGGACATCGACTTTTTTATAGTGCTGAGGATACACTATCGAAGCCATTACCCATGGTGCTCTTCCTGTCACTAATTGATTTTGTTAAAAGATGTCGACTCTTTTTGGCTCTTGACCTTGAGGTTACTTCCGTCATAAACCTCCGTCAAACCCACTGCCATTAGCCCAGCTCCAGCATTCACTTCAAAAGGGTCAAATCGACAAAAGTTGCTTACGCCACCGCTGTTTACAACCTCCTAAAGCCAAGAAGATGATTACTGCTTTGTCTGGCTTGCGTTCACTAGATGCATCATATTTTGAAACCGTAATTTGTCCTTTTGCCCATGTTGTAATCCTAAGCCTTCATGTTTATACTTCATGTACTTGGCAAAAAGTCCCAAGCCCACTCATGTTTGCAAAATGATTAAAAAGTTATTACATTTATAGTAGTGTTTGCATCGTTGCTATGGAAGATTGCCCTGATTGCGTAACACAAGCACAACATGGGAAGCCACCGGTGTCATCCAATTAAAATAAAGCAATCACTAAGTAACAGCTCATTAATTCGATTATGCCAGCTGAGGAAGAGACAGCAGTGGCCACATGCAAAATGGTTATAATGAATTTACTGTGAAAGCAAAGATCATTTGAGAATACTGTCAAATGTGGAAATATGAAGTATCACTGGAGAAATCTTGACTTGGCACTGCATAAAGATTGGGCCAAGCAAAACAAAACTATGGTGAATAGAAAGTGAACCCGCTGCAATCATGGGCATCAACAGAACAAATCTAAATATGATCATTATTGAAAGATAATATCAGAGACTGCCTCCAAAGCATTGATACATAATTTTTCTGGATTATGTATTATTAGCAGTGTATAGTTTTTGACCAGTATGAGGAATGCACTTGTTATACCTTTGCTAAAAGATTGCAGTAGTATATATAGATAGTGCAGTTCATTTTATATCAAAGTATTTACTCTATTGTGTAAACCTAGAACGTGGTTTAGGTTAGAATAATAGTACAAAGTCACATTTTCATGCATCCATGTTAAATGACTTTATGTCTTATGCACAATCACATGAGGCCATTCAAAATCACAATTATAGTGGTCCCTCTTTTAACAGGGGTTACGTTCTAAGAATATTTGAATTAAAGTAACTGTCAAGTTGCACGAGCTGTCGAGTTATACTCTATGATGCTGGTGTAGACACAGAGCGCATGACACTTGTGAATGCAAAAGGGCACAGAAAAATCCACAAAAGAGTAGAAAGGTGAATAGTGTTATAGTGTATAGAAAGTTTTTCCATTAGCCACAAACGATTATCACAGCATTATTGTATTCATTAGAGGACTATTATGTAAAAGCAGCCTTCTTTTAATTGAAGATCTATGGAAAACAGTCATATTTGTTGTTAAGTATTGCAGTATTGATTCTGTAGCAATGCCTTGACGGGTAAACATAGATTCAAAATGATTTTGAACTAATCCAAATCCTTTTCCAGTTAATTCTATCCAGTAACGTGCAAATATTCTATCAGGAATATTACAGAGACACGTTAATTCTCTGCATACCTGTAGACACTTCATGCAGCCTCTCGCTCAGGTAGTAGTCATTGGGGTTGAGGTATGGCATCTGCTCCAGGTATTGCTTCGGAATAAGGTACAAAACTTCTGCCACGTGTCCATCCTCAATGATAGACATACGCTTTACAGAACTTTTTCGCTTCACTCGCACTTTAGCCACGTTGTGACTCCGATTGGAGCTGCATATTTTCCCCAAACTGTTCAAATTGGGCAAGTTTGGCATCATCTCCTCGTCCTCCTCCACCGACCCGCAGAGAAAATCAAAGCACCAAAGATAAATCCTAGCCAGGGTCCAAACCTCTGGCGTCCACTAGGCAAGCATTATGGATTGGATGAGTTTTTCCTCAATTTCAGGCACAGAACGGGACGTCGATGAGCGCAAAATCCTGACGGAGGTCCATAACGGTGCGGTGGAGCAGAAATCAGGTGTGATGGAGCCCTACAGGTGGAGAAGTGCAGGGGAAGGAGCTTACTGTGCGGGAGAGTCTTCAGCTACAGTGAGGCCTAAGCAGCTTACGGGGCTGACGTTGGGTCCATGATTATCCCCAGGGAGGGGTCAGGCCCACAGCGGGAAGACCAGAGCACCGTGAGAACCTGGTGGAGTTACTGATGTCTGCCTGTTTTAGACAAGGTGCAAATGAGGTGAAAATAGCCACCGTCCAAATGAGATACACTTGTGAGACTGCTATTGCTGCGATGAGAAATGTAACAGGAGGATTCTAAGGCTGAAAGCATATTCTGAGTGAATAAGAAAGCTGTTGAGTTTCATTAAACGATTAGAGGATTTCTGGGGACGCAACAACAGAACTGGTCCAGAACAAATGGTTTCATAATGTCAAAAAGAGTGGAAATTAGTTTTAAGGGGTGACAAAGGAATATAATTTAAGTAACTTTTAAGATGTACTACCATGCACACTGAGCAAAAGATCCACATAGTGGAAATATACCTCCAGCCATCCCCTATGCTTCATAAAGTTTGCTCCCTGACGGCTGTCTTCATTTTTTTAGAGAAAATGTAATCTTTTTTTTTATCACTACTGGTAGTGCTCTCATATTCACATTTCAGTCTGAAAATGCTGATCAAAGATGTGACAGAGGCTCCAAAATGCAGGCATGTGAAAACTAGTTGGATGTAATGTTTTATACAGCGCTTTTTTGTCCTGCTTAGCTTCGCATGTAACTATAAATATCCCCATGAGTTGCCTTGTACCATACAACACACAGGATTGTTCAACAACAGGTGTTTATATATGTTCCATTAGGGCCATAAAGAGGCTTTCACATTGACCACAAAAGCTCCAATCACATGCATGCATAACAAGTACTGTGAAAGCATTTTGAGTTGGGACGCTGCCAGTGTTTTCCAAGGACAGTAGGCAAGAGCACAGACCGACAACGCACAAACAACATTAAATCATAGAGCCTTGATCAGGACAAAAGTACGAACATGGAAGTCAAGGACCATTATCCACAGCAATCAGAGCAAAGCAAAGAGGATTGGAAGCATGCAAAAGGAATGTACTGACGTTACTAAATGAACACAATGAAAACAAGTAAAATGTCAAAGCCTACAGCAAAAATAATCCTCCTTTTGTTTACAACATTTAGAGTCAAAACATATCACAAAAGTCAGACGAACTTGGCCCGACCAGTGCAGGAATCCAAGCTCGTTTAAGTTTATAGAATGGACCTGTAGACTGGGCCTATGCAGACCGCCCTAGGTCAAAACATGTTGGCTTTGGCCATGTAAATAAAGGACTTTTAGTTAAGATTTCCTTGTTTAGGAGAGCTTGTAGTTTTTCAAGGCTGTTTGATTGGTACATTCCTTGCAATGCCCGTTGTAATTTTTACAATACTTTGATGTACAATAGTATATACATGTACATCCAAAATCCAAAATACTGAACATAATCAAACAAAAAAATAAGTGGGAGGAAGTTAATCTAATTTCCCACCCCTAAACATATCATACTTGAATGTGGTAGAAGCCAATTACATTTTTTGAAGCCAAATTTGCAAATCAATGTAATATTCTATTCTAGAGTCTGTAATAAAGTGGAATTATTCCTTCACGTTGCAACAAATCTATTGACGTTCTTCCAAGAGCACCGACTGTAACACTTTGTTTTTTCTGCTCAATGATTGAACAAAGTTGATGATCAGATTTTTAACTGTGGTTCTGGGTGGTTATTGTACATACAGCAGAGTTTTGTGCAAGATTTGAATCTCAAGCAGCCTACAAACATTTTCCGACAACAAAATTCAGATGGATCGGCGTATCACTTTTGCCCAAAATACGAGCTTTTGAGGCAAGCCAAATCACAGTTCAAACAAATGAACAAATTCAAGTCAATAACTTTTGTTTTGCAGTTTTTTCATACCACTATAGCACAACAATGCATCCATAGTATAGTAAGTACAGTGCATTGCTGTGATTCTAATGCCTTAGGAAAAGCCGCCACACGCACACAGCCCTCTCATATCACGGTCACATCGGAGGCTCAAAGTGCTGAGGCGGCAAAAAGCACTGCACACAATGACAAAGCAGAAATGTCCCTCTCGATGTGAGGGAATGTGGCTCGGTCGCACTTTAATTTGAATCAATTTCCTCTTTGTCTGTATCCGAGCTGGGATGGGACAGCTGGGACCGGCTTGGATTAAGTCTGAGTAGTGTTTATGTGTCTTTACTCAACTCAATTAATGCCTTTTCTGTTTGTTACGGTGGTCGATCTCAGACAGATACCAGGCACGCTGAACCTAAATTAAGCTAGGCTATTATAAGATGGGGTGGAAATGAAAGTCTTAGAAAAGTCTATACAGAATTATGTAAACAGTATTCATTTTATAATTGAGCAAAATACATGTAAAAGGAAAGAGGATTTGAATTTCCATAAGGAGCAATAAATGAATGCACAGTTAGATTCACAGTTATATTTAGCCAAAATCATTCAACATGCATATTTTTTTATTCTATTGTCCTATATCTATGATTTTAACGGTAGGGAAACCGGAGCATCTGGAGGAAAACTTCACACACATAAGAAAACACAAAAAAAGTGTCTGCTATTGCTGAGAATTGAACCCAGGACCTTCTTGCTGTGAGGTGATCGAATTCATAAGAAGGTTGTTGTTTCCCAACCCAGGGTCCAGGGTCCTTTTGAGCCATATACAGTAATGGTTTCAGATTTTCAGAAGAGGAGAAATTCAAGATACAGAAAGTATATAGAAGTATTTAAAATCAGAAATTGAAATAGAAATGTTTTAAATCACTGAACTCCAACACTAGGAATATTCTAGTTTCTTAATATAATAGTAATAATTTACCATATGCCTTTAGTAAACACATATACTGGAGTTTGGATGTATTTTCAACACAGGAAGTAACTTAGGGAGAAAAAAATGGTAGGGAAACTAAAATAAAATTGATTTATTTTTGTACGGCCACAAATGAAGGACTTTTCGAAATTGTTGATTTGCCATCTGCAGACTAGAAAAATAGCATTACAGTTGAGATAAATGATAAATCAACAGAGGCAAACAAAACAACGAATGTTCACACAAATTAAGCCAGAAGATGACTAAAGGAAATGATAGCAATGTCACAAATGATGAAAAAATACACAGATAGAAACAGCAGACCACAATATTGATACAGTATATATATAAATATATCTTAGCATCATGATATATGGAGGTGCAATAGTTTTAGCTCAGCCCTAAGGATAAACTATTCAGTGCACACATAAATGCCTCCCTCCCGCCTCATCGCACCCCTGTCCCATGCACCGTTCTCTCCCTGGTATGTCGTACCGTCCAGTCCGAAGCAGGAGGTGATCTTTTGGGCGTAGTTGCAGATGCCATCGTAGCCTGGCTTTTGCTGCTGCCTGCTTTGCATCGTCCTCCTATCCTCCATCTCTGCTCATGGCACAATCCCACACGCAGCCAGCCTGTCCAGCCTTTTCACTCCTTCCTTCAAGCGTTTGTTAATAATTCAAGCTCCGGCCAGGCACCTCGGTCCCTCACGCACAGAGCAGAGGAGGGAGTGGGGGTATGGAGGGGGAGAAAGAAAGGCAGAAATGCTGATGCAGAGATCTGAGCAGCTCTATCCAGCGGTGGGACGAAAGGAAGAAGGCGCGAGATTGGGTTACTGCAGGATGACTCTTCTTCCTCCTATAAAGCCTTGATCATTCGCGCGCACCGCAGTGTAACAGGTACGGGGCAGGAAGTGGTCCAAAAATGGGCGGAGAGGGAAGTTTGAGATGTCTTTTTATAGGTCGCTTATCATTTGTCGTCATTAAATATTGAAGGTGTGAGGAAAAAAGGGCCGTTAGCAATACTGATCCACATGTGACAATGAAATATGGCTACCCAGTGATTGCATTTTCTAAATAGTGTGGCTTAACTTTTTTTGATAAAAAAAAAGGGGAAAAAAAGCATCACTGCATTTTTCTTATACCTAGCTCAATCAGAAATAAAAATAAACAAATAAAAATGTGCTGTTTTGGACAGAAAATGGGTTTGTTACATTCTAAAAATGCTACCAAATGACAGTAAGAGTAAGAGAAAGAGCTGATTAAAAATGTAAGTGACCAAAACATAATTATACTATTTGTGTTTGATGGTCCTAGTTTTAAACAAGACTTAAATCCACATTTTAGAACATTCCAGACACATTGTGAACTTGTCATGTGAATAGTGTGACAGATAATGAATGATGTCACTATCTATCCCCCACTACATACTATGACTGTAAGAAAGTCAGGTCATGGCTGGATATCTGATTTGACCTATAAATCACCAACTCTCATATCCTGAACTGACACTGGCCAGCACACGTCAACCGTGTAGGGTCAGGCTGGAAATGTCTCAACGTCTGAAATATCTGGTGAAGCTTGTTTGTTGTTTATTTGGTAGGGACAGTGCCTGTTAATGACCTTTTCAGATTGTCTTATTTAAGAGCCCAAGATCAATGTTGTAGCCGACTAATCAGGGGTCATTGGGTGAGGGCAGAGGTCAGGAACCTTTATAGCTGGAAGAGACAAAAAAGTCTCATACTTAAACTGTATTTCTGCTCGAGCCATACACATTTTTTCTGTGAATATGTTTTTTAATACAAGATTAACACATTTAGAGTATATTACTTTTTGAATGTATTATTTTGTTTATTATTTTATACTTAATTAATCTAATACTTAAAACATTCTTACATTTAATTCCTATACTAAGAATTGTCGGAGAGGTAGACACAATTGTCAAAAGAGCCACATCTGGCTCCTGAGACATAGGTTCCTGACCTCTGGGTGAGGGTAAGAGACAGGGTGAGGATTAGGGTTAGGGCTGGGGTTAACTATGGTTAGGGTAAAGATTAGGATTCGGAGTATTAGTCCACGATCAACTTTGACATTAATCCTACTCTTTATTACTTGGTGATGTCAGTGCCCGGATTGTGGCCTTGCGATAACTTGCATCCGTTGTCCCCCTGACAGAGGGCCAGAGGGTCATTTTTTCACCAGGGTTTGTTTGTTTGTCTGATGGATTTTACAAAATGTCCAGGAAACTTTGGAAATAGAACAAGAAACAAATTATTAGAAATCAGGATCTGGATTTTCTTTCCTCTGAGTAGAAAAAAGGGTAGGATCACTTTTCTTGTTAATACGGCATAAAGTTTTAAAGCAAAAAAGCTAATAAACAATGGGCCTCATTCACGAATAACTTCGTAAGAAACTACTCAACTTTCTTCTCAAGTTGTCCTTAAGTAGATTTCTAAGAAGTCCCCACGTGGGATTCATCAACGAACTCGTAAGGCGCTGAATTGTTCGCAGCTGTTCTCTCAGATTGATGAATCCCATTTCCTCGTAAGTACAGCGCGCGTGCCAGGTGCTTCATTAGCATAGGTACTTAGCATAAGTAACCGCCCATTAATGCCCATATAAGGGACTGCAGGGCCGTGTGCAGACGGCAGAGGAAACAGCAACAGGCCTAAAGCAACAGGCCCATGGATGAACAGGCCACGGAGCAAAAGAGTCACCCTTTTTTCTTCTTTTACCAGACTGAGAATAAAGTTATAAAATGTTGACTTAAAAATTGAAATATTATGATAATAAAGTCGAACTAGCAAAATTATGAGATTAATCTAAGAATATGATGAGATTAATATCAAAATGTTATGAGCTTAATTTAAAAATATATTATGTATTATTTTAAAGATGAATCTCAAAATGTTTTGAGATTAATCTCAAAATATTTTGGACCCTGGGAGGAGATCCAGCTCGGACCAGCGCTGAGACCAATGCAGACCCGAGGAGAGACTGGAGTGACCAGCACACAGAAACCAGCGCGGACCTATAGGAGAGACCGCATAGACTGTAGTGACCTGACTGGAGAGACCGGTGCGCAGAGACCAGCGCGGACCGAAGATAGACCGCATAGACCAGACTTGAGAGACCAGCGCGGACCCGTATGGATCCAGGAGCATGCAGCACGGACCCGTATGGAGAGAGACCAGTGCAGACCCGTCTAGATCCATGGGAGAGACCAGTGCAGACCCGTATAGATCCATGGGAGAGACCAGTGCAGACCCGTATAGATCCATGGGAGAGACCAGTGCAGACCCGTATAGATCCATGGGAGAGACCCAGCGCGGACCCAGTAACCTCCTGCAGCAGCAGTATATATGCCGTTGTTCTGTGGCCCGTGGATAAAGAAATGCCCCCTATAAATAGGAAGGGGTCACTAATACACGGCAAGATTTCCAATGTATTTGATAAAGCATTGGCACATTTCATTTCAAAATGAATTAAAAAGTAGGCCAGATCTGCAGTGAAAAAGGCGGTATATAAATAAAGATTACTAATAAAGATTACTACAAATAAATAAATACATACATCGATATGACGAACATATCACTGGAATGTTGTATTTTTATTCAACTTCACCAAAGAGGACAACCCCGGCGTGTGAACATGTCGGCACTGAATGCGTACGAGTGCTCCTGAGGACTCGTAGGATTTGTACTTGCCCAAGAGAAATTCTGGTTACGAGAAATATTCGTGAATGCCACTTTCTTCGTAAAAACCGCGTAAGTAGGATTTACGTACAAATCTGTTCCTAAGAACCGTTCGTGAATGAGGCCCAGTGTCTTTAAGCTTTGCAATGCAATACACCATACGTAGGCAGCATGATTCCACTTCCCTTACGGTAAGTTGTTTTTTAACAGTGAGCCATAGTAGAATAAAGGAATGGAGGGCTTAAAGGGTCAAGATGAATAATAAATGCCCAAACATCACTGGAGCAATTACAGCCAAACAATGCAACAATAAGTGTGGTTTGAACTGGAACAAAAGCACTGAAGAGCTGCACGAGAAAGATTCAAGTAATTCAAACGTTTATTCAACCGTATTAAAAGCAATTAGAAGTATTGATTGAGTGGTGGTGTTATATATATATATTACAGACAAATATATATCGTATGCATATGTGCGAAGCAGTGGCCACATCTGAATAGGCGAGACAACTCACATTTTGCATATTAGCTTTCCCTAAGGTTGTATTCTGTTATGGAGAATGAGATTATTTGTAGATAAAGTACTTAACTCAATTCTGATGGCCCAGTTCTGATTAGATGTGGAGGGAATGACTGTATAAACACAAGACAATTATTATAATTGGGGCTATTTGCTTTGCTAAGAACAATACTGGCAGATCTGGTGATAGGATACTGCGTTTTTCCAGGATTAGTTGAAATATTAACATTGCAGATATTCATGGTGGAATGTTAAATTGTTTATAGCTAAAGTGAACCTTTGCTGAGAGAAAACAAGTATATTTTAAAGGGCCGTGTGTAATATTTTATCTCACACAATACTTTACAACTGCTTGCTCATGTTACTGTATTGAGGTTTTCATAAATGTGCATGTTTATTTTAAGACTAAGTAGCTGATAATGTAATATTTTGTAATGTACATTTTAAGTTAACTGTTGTATCATCCTTCCAGCTGATGTATGAATAGACCGTATCTGATTATTATACAGACATTTCTGAATGTGATATTGTTGTAGGGGGTGGAGTGGGATCTGAAGGAGCAAACCTGTGTTAAATGTGTAATTGTTTGCATTGTAGTAAATGCATAGTGTTTGTTCATGGAACCCTCTCCATGAGATGCTGCATCTCAAGGGGCTTTTTCTACATAAATCAAATTGCCCGACAAAACAAATTTGAAAGTTAGATTTTATATAAATTACATCATATTATGCATGGGTCCCCAGACAATAGATCAAGAACAAATCATAACTGGCCTTTTCTTAATAAAAAAATACAATTAATGTGACACAATTTGCATAATATCCAATCAGAGAGCAGAATATGTATCTCAGCTTCTTAGATGAAATCCAACATATTTTTTATATAACCAATTTGAAAAAAATAAAAATAAAACAACACCACATATTTATTTGAATGAAAAAAAAAAAAGTAATACACAATGTTTGTAGTGTTTCTGTCTCCACCCCAGCAGGTGGTTTGCATTTTGAAGCTGTATATTTTGGTTAGTTCAGGTTTATGCCCAGAAAATATCTCAGCCACTGGGAGAAGATGCAAACTCAAGAGTACACAGAAAGGCTCTTGAGGCCAAACCTGCCAGGTCGAGATTAAGTCAGTTGAGTAAAATGCCTGTTGCAGGGTTGAATTTAAAAGTATTGACAATAAAACACTGTCCATCCATAAAAGAATAAACCCACAGAGTCTAACTGATACAATGCTGCAGTCTGATGTGGTTTCCTCTGGTGAATATTGATGGACGGCTCAGTGACTTGAGAGTGCTAATCAGGCCTATGGGCCACAGGGGGGCCGTAAACCAGGGGCTCCTAATACAGCTCTGCTCTACCATCAATGCAACCGCAGCAACAGCAATCACCACATTAATGAAGAGAAAGGTGGATACGCTCATGTGGACTTATTCCCACTCCTCTCTGCCTATCTCGCATGTGCTTTAGGTGTGAGTGAAGCATATTTACGAATCATAAATCCAATTTCTAATTATCATCTTGAATCCTTCTAGCGTCAACGGATAATCTTCTGTTGGTATATTAACCAAGAGCACAGATTTTGGAGGAAAATGTACAAATATACAACTTTCTATGAGATTGATCAGTGTTTAGAGAAATATAAGGGATAAAATATATAAAAAAATATAATGTGTTTGGCTAAAGCTCAGTCAGGTATAATGAAGAGTATTGTGCTCATGGAGAGTCAAATAAGGGTGTTAATGATTTATTATATAATATATTGCTATCTTACAAACTAAATACAATAATCACCTAATATTTAGTGTCAGGATAATCACATTCCTCAAGAAAATACTGAAGGAAACAAAAACCACTGTGGAAAGTTAACTTATACAACAGGAGGGTTTTTGTGAGTTTTTCCTTGCCGATGCAGGAGAGTCTGTTGGACAGTTAGTGTCCAACAAAAAGGATGTGGTGATGATCAGGACACTTTAACCTTCTACAACATGTATGGACATTTTTTAAAACATGTGTTCTATATTCTTTCTGTGTTTTAACTGTTGATTCTCTGATCTGTGTTGGTGATTTCAATGGTTTTGTTAAGTCCTCTGAGATGACTTCTGTTGTGACTTAGGGCTATACAAGAATACATTGTATTGTAAATTGTATTGTATTGTACAACACACTGAGAAGAAGCCAGACTTATCTATTCAACAACATTCATGTTTTTCAAACGTTATTTAAAAAGTGATCATTGGTTTTTGGGTAATCTTATCAACCTACTTGTACAGTAATATTCCACTGTAACCTTGGGGTCACTTTGGAAGTAAAAGTTTAATCTCAGTTTTGCAGCAGCAAATTCAGTGATTCAGAGGAGGACAGGGCCCCTGATGAGAGCCAGGCACCATCCTCACTGCAGCCCACTATGTGCTGCTTTTACAGGCTCCTGACACACCGTCATTATATGTCCTGGGCACTGTCCTCTCACCGTTTCTCTTCACCATCTACACCTCAGACTTCACACACGACACACACAGCTGTCACCTGCAGAAGTTCTCCGACGACTCCGCCATCGTGGGCTGTGTGTCTGAGGGGAACGAACTGGAATATCGGTCGGTTATTAAGGACTTTGTCGACTGGTGTGAGTGCAACCACTTGTGCTTGAACACCAGTAAGACCAAGGAGATGATCATCGACTTCAGGAGAAAACCACTTTCCCACACGCTGCTGAACATCCAGGGGGAGGACATTGAGCTGGTGGACAGCTTCAAGTACCTGGGTGTTCACATTAACAATAAACTGGACTGGTCCCATAACACTAACGCCCTGCACAAGAAGGGCCAAAGTCGCCTCTTCCTTCTGAGGAGGCTGAGGTCCTTCGGAGTAAGCAGGCCTCTGCTCAGGACTTTTTATGACTCTGTGGTAGCTTCTGCCATTTACTACGCTGCCGTGTGCTGGGCCCCGGGCAGCACAGAGCGGGTCAGGAGGGCCAGCTCCACTCTGGGCTGCTCCCTGGACTCTGTGGAGGAGGTGAGGGACAGGAGGGTGCTAGCCAAAGCCACCTCCATCATGAACAATACCTCCCACCCACTGCACAGGACTGTAGAGGAGCTGAGGAGCTCCTTCAGTGGAAGACTGAGACACCCTCAGTGTAGGAAGGAGCGCTACCGCAGGGCCTTTATCCCCACCGCTGTCAGACTGTACAATAAGTCACTTTAAATGATCACACTTGTCACTTTTGTTGCACATAATTATTGTCACTTTATTGTACATATATATCCTGCATGTAACATGTTTTCACATTTCCTCCTTTTGCACAATCTGAGTGTCCTATCCATGCCAAATGTGACATGTAAATTTCTCCTCTGTGAGATAAATAAAGCACATCTTATCTTATCTTATGTATCATTACTTCTACTTTCTATTTGGTGATGATGGAACAATAAACAATAATGTTTATTGTCATTTCTGCCCAGCGCCAACAGATTTACTTATTTATATTCAATATCAAACAATATCATAAAGACAGGACAGACAGGGGGCAGTCCTTACTGAATTATTTTACTTTTTATATTCAATTCAAATCAATTTATTTTTGCAGTTTGTTGTTGTCTCAGAGGACTTTAAGGAATTTTAGGAATTGTTAATTCTTCAAAATCATATCAGAGAATCCATCAGTTTGAACAAGGGAAATGCAATAATAACAAACACAGAAGCCATTGGTGCATAGGGGGCGGATGACCAGGTGGTTAGTACACACAGCCTAATATGTAGCTGCGAACAAGATTTTTATATTTTTAATGCTTTTATTTTAAATACCATGTTAGTTTACAATATAGTGTGAAAAACATAATCAATGCAATCAACTTTTTAAGTTGGATCTCTGGTAAGTATGCTATAAATTGAGCAATATGATAGTTAGCAAAGTGTTCATAGTGTTAGGAACTATTGGTTAACTATTAATAAACATATTCAAACATCCCCTCAAGCATCACCCCAAACCCTCCAGTTAATTAATCCCCCAAAAATTAACACTAGACTTTGAAACTAATAAACTTTTTTTTTTAACAACAACAGCAATTTTCCTACAAGCACTGCCAACACTATAAAGCAAATAACTTTGTTTGAGTCTGGCTGTACAGGTGGCCTATAAACTGCACTTCACACAGCCACACTAGTTCTCTATCAGCAGGGTGTGGGCTGGAGTTTCACTGTTTAACATTTCTATGCAATCATTCAATCCTTTAAATTCGTCTTATTCTGTCAATTGTATGCCTTTTGTAGAGTATGACCTATTTTTAGCCCTTGCTGTCTGCCCATAGCCACTGAATAAGTTGTGGTCTCTGCAGCAGAAACAGCTGGCCACTTCAGTAATACACCGGTGTAATATCCTTGCAACTATAAAGGGAAAGACGGATCCACCACAAACACGAAGCAAATGGGTTCGCCTCTCTATTTCCGGAGCGACATTCAATGCTTTTTCTTTTTTTCCATTTTAAGCCACTTTTTCTCCTCCATATGCTTTGATGTGTGTCCGCATGGTCCGTATGCGGTGTAGGACACTCACCTCTTGCAGCAGACATGCCTGGTAGGTGCCTTCTCCTTTCAGCGACTCTATCAGCAGTGGGGATCCGCCAGTGCAGCTTGAAAACCCGGGGGAAGACAGCTTGACAGCCCGCTATTATCTTTTCTTTAGGTTGTCAGTGAGCATATTGCTGCTTGACGCGGGGGAAAGGCGTAAGGAGCGATGGAGAGCGGCACTTTCCACCGCGGCCACAGTCACTCAGGGCGTGTCCTGGAAAACACAGCATCCTTTTCACTTTTTCCACAAGTTCACTTCCATGTTTTAGCGGAGAGAGCAGTCAGAGCGAGGCGGTAATGATGATGAGAGGGAAATGGCATAACCTCGAGAGGAGAACCCGTGACTACATGCGCACACCGGCGAGTATAGCGTTAAAGTGACATATACTGTCTTCTGTGATGTCTCTACTGCTGCTGCTGCTGCTGCTGCTGTCTGTCTGTAGTAATCAGGCCATTTACAATCTGTGAGGGGAATTTTGACCAGATATTTAACATTGCACATAAACATATGCAATCTAAAATGTAAAGCAAGGTGGTTGCAAATCCTAGTCTTAATCACCCAATTATGTATTTATTTACATACATAGGATACTCTAAAGATCAGGGACGTGCAGTCAGGGGAGGCAGGGGAGGCAGAGCCTCACCTGCCATTATTGGAAACTAATAATTATTTTAGTTTAAATATATAATTTATATCCACTGTCCTATGCTTTTAATGTATATTCGGCACGGTTCCCATCAGTTTTGATCATTTCTGAAGTCAAAATCGCCGAAATCCCGTTATTCCTATTCAAAGAGACGAGGTGAGGCAGCGCTCCTGCGTGCCTCACCCCAGACCGCTCCCTCACAGTGTGTGTGTGTGTGTCTGAGTGCACTCAGCTCGTGCAGTTGATATATCACCGTTTGTTTCAAATATCCTGCTTTAAAAACATTTTTTAAACTCCTCTTAGTGTTTAGTAGTGTATTGCACGTATGTGTGTACAATTTATATTTAGTTTAAATCTTTTGATCGTAGATGAACACACAAGGAAAAAGCTTGGCGTGAGGCAGGCGGTATCTGTGCCTCACCGCTAGGGGTGATAGTGAGCATAAAGTTCATACCAGAGTTGCTAACAAACAATCAGCCCAAAATGCTATTTCTTTTGCTGGAAAATGGATGATTTGAATGAAGATTTTTTTTCTCAATTGGACTTTCAAACAAAGAAAGAATTAATATAGACTGGGAGACCACCACTGGACTTACGAGGTTAGTCCGGCTGCGGGGGAGGAGTTTGTTAATCTGTGTTTTATGTTGAACATTGACAGATACCGGCAAAGTAGTGCTTTTCCGAAAAACACTGATTCAAACACTGCTCAAGAGTTCTGCAACTTGTTTAAATTATTGTTTATGTTCCTCGCGTCTCTCTCTCCTCGCGTCTCTCTCTCCTCGCGTCTCCGTCTCTCTCTGCTCCTCGCGTCTCCGTCTCTCTGCTCCTCTCTGTCTCTCTCTGCTCCTCGCGTCTCCGTCTCTCTGCTCCTCTCTGTCTCTCTCTGCTCCTCTCTCCTCGCGTCTCTCTCTCCTCGCGTCTCTCTCTCCTCGCGTCTCTCTCTCCTCGCGTCTCTCTCTCTCCTCGCGTCTCCGTCTCTCTCTGCTCCTCGCGTCTCCGTCTCTCTGCTCCTCTCTGTCTCTCTCTGCTCCTCTCTCCTCGCGTCTCTCTCTCCTCGCGTCTCTCGCACCTGCGCTTCTTAAAGATGTTGTTTGATGCGGAGCAGAGTCAGCAGCTAGATTTGTTGTGAGATTATTAAAAGAAGCTGGTTCTCTTATCTTTACAGTATATAAAGTTTGTGGATGTCATTGCATTGGTGATTAAATGCTATTTTATTTGAATAATGATTGTAAATCTGACTTTTAAAGTCAGTGCCTCCCCAATCACAAACCTCACCGCACGTCCCTGCTAAAGATGTATTGTGAAACGTTAAAGCTGGGGTACCAAGCTTCAAAAAATCATAATACATAATACATTCTGTTGGTACACAACAAAAAGTGAACAAATCAACTTTCTGAATGAACCCTGTGAGTTATTAGTTGACACTTTGGGCTGAGTCCTCTCTTTTTGATCTGAAGGCCAAACATGCATTCTAGTGAAAGACTCAAACTGTTTAACACTAGATTTAAATGTTTTTTTGTGGTAATTTAATCGTGATTTCTGTAATGGAAAAATGTTGTAGGGTATAACCAAACAAAATTAAAGGATTGATTTGAGCTACCATATTATATTTATTAGCTCACAAAGTTGACTAACATTGTGTATACCATTGATAATCATTCATTTAATCATTCTTTCAAGCAGAAATAGTTACATTCTTCATATTAGATATAATATACGTTTACTTAAGCAATATTCAACAGCATTCACGTATGTGACCTCTTATTTGACTGCATATGTAAGCATATGGAGCTTAACATGTGTTAAATGAGTGGTTTATTGCACATAGTCATGGACCATATACAATATATGCTCAAGTCATGATGAAGTATTATTATTACCTCCTAGCTCTTCTCGTACCTTAGACGGGAGCTCCCCCTGGTGGCCGCTCGCGGAGTTGCCGCAGATGAATTGCCACCGTGTCCCGTCACAGAGTCCGCAGACGTGTTGTTTACAGTGTAGTGCTAGGCCCTGAACCCGCTGCTGTGCCCCGTGTCCTTTATGGGTTTATTGCTCACGTTTCCCATTCTCGTTTCAAGGGTCAGTGTATGAGACCTCCAATCTGGATCGAGGCGGCAACAGGAAGAAGATAGAGGATTTCTCTAGATCTTCTCGGGAGAAATTAGTCCAGTCCAAGAACAAAATGTTTTCCAAATTTACCTCCATCCTCCAGCATGCAGTGGAAGCGGTGAGTGTGGGTCATATGCTCAAGGATAGCGCAGTTTCATGGCTCTCATGTGTCTGCTGTATTGGCTATTCCTGAGCAAACGCATTTAATCATGCTACGACTGGTAGCACCTGTGCTAACAAATTAGCCACCGCTGGTGTTAGCGTTTTGTGTTTATGTTGTTTGTTTACTGTTGTTACGTGCAGCAGAAAGTCCCAGCGACTGTGTATCATGGTGACGATTGATGTTAACTAGCATGACAACTGACTGCCACATGTGAATTTACTCTGGACGATTCCTGTTAAATAGTGTTTTGCAAGAAATGCTAGTTAGCCGCTAAGGTTAGCTTCTGCTAGCCCCAAGAAGCTAGGCTAACTGGGCTGGATAAAACAGCTGGCTCTTATCATAAGTGATTTTGAAATAATCAGGACATCTGCATCAAAATTCATTTTTCGATATGTTGTCCAAACATTTATTTGTGTGATAATTCTTCAACTATTATAATGCTAAATATATATTTTTAATAATTAGAACCGTTTGTAGGATAAGCCAGTTATGGCATTCCTCAAACCTGTTCTTAGCTACTTAGGCAGTTGTTGTTAAAGTCTGCATGTCTTTCTCTCTGGCTTAGATCAGAGATAAAGAAGTTGTCAATTTTCTTGTGTGTTTCTTGTGCACAGTCAGTGTGCTGCAGTTAAAAAACATTTCACGTTTTGTACTGCTTTCTTTTTCAGCTGGCCCCTTCACTGCCCCTGCAAGAAGACTTTGTTTATCATTGGAAGGCTATCACACATTATTACATAGAGACATCAGGTAACTAGACTAAATGCTACACACCAGATAGTACATGCTCTAGTTACTTCTTCCTTGGATCCTATTAGCCTTGAAAAAAGAGAATTCAAAAATGGGAACTGAAATTATGACAATGTCAAGTAATAAGAGTAACATTTCTTTGTCCTTGTTCCTTGTAGATGATAAAGCTCCGGTCACAGACACAAACATACCGTCTCACCTGGAACAGATGCTGGACATCTTGACTCAGGAGGAGGCTGAGCACGAGTCTGGAGAAACTGGGCCCTGTATGGAGTATCTACTGCACCACAAAATACTGGAGACTCTGTACACACTGGGCAAAGCAGACGTAAGGATCTTTGTGGAAAATCTAAGACTGGCAGCCTTATGTGTTACGAGACTTTTTTCCACTCATTTTAATTATTTATTTGTGACAAAGCAGAAAAGAGAAAGTGAGCAAGATTTTTTTGGTTTGATCTGGTATTGACTACTTTCCTCTATATGGCATTTTTTCCCAATACTTTTTTGAACATGTTAAGTTTTTTTGTGAACTCTCATCCAGTTGTGCTGTTCTGGTTAGGTGCAGTGTTATGTTACTACTGTTTCATAAAGCCACATGATAATGCCAAATCTAAGGCCTCTTAAAAGTTACTGGTATTTCTAAAAGGATGCAGGTATAATGGGCCATTTGGTCATGTTACATCATATTTGAATATGTTCTTTCTGAAGATAAAATAAGTAGATAAGTTATTATTATAAATCATTGACTTTTATATATTTTACAAGTGTTAATTCATATTGTTGTTTTAAAATTGTTAAAACAGATCTGAGCAGAAAATTTTAGTCAACTAAAGGTCTTTTTGTAACTATATCTTTCTCTCTAGGCTTTTACATCTGTCAAACTGAATCTTATGCTAATATAAACAGCTCATCAGATATTTCTTAATTTTTGCAGTGTCCCCCGGGGATGAAACAACAGGTGCTCACTTTTTATACAAAACTCTTGGCGCACATCCGTCAGCCTCTTCTTCCTCACATAAACGTCCATAGACCCGTACAGGTGAGTAACGCTGGCCACTTAGTGTTTTGTGTAAGCTGTAGCCTGTCGTTGGAATGCTAACTTGATTATTTATGCTGCAGAAACTGATCCGCCTGTGTGGGGAAATACTTGCTGCACCAACAGAAAATGAGGAGATTCAATTCCTTTGCATAGTCTGTGCCAAACTCAAGCAAGTCCCATATCTAGTCAACTTCTTTCTTGAGGTACAAACTCTGATAAACAAAGAGCGGTGTTCCCTTGTGTTACCATGCATTTTAATGATTGGGATATGATTTTACAGAATAAGTTGAGACGATCTGACACGTTGTCTCCGGATCGGGCGCAGGGGAGTAAAGGTAATGATTTAGCTCCTGACACTGGACAAGGTCAGACTCCTGGAAAGACGGAGGAGCCACAGGCCGCTGCAGCTGCAAGGAGTCCAACCACTAACAATAACAACAGCTACAGCCTGGTCACGTCCCTGCTCAACCTCACCAAGAGTCCTGTAAGGAGCCATGTTATTATGCTTTAATGAAGTGAGGTTTTGATGGGATCACATCATGAAACTATATCTTTATTATACAGTTTCCCCGTTTTTCAGAGAAACAAATCAAGTGTTGTCTTCCACATCTTTTATGTGACTAGCACTGGGCCTCGTTTTCCCCTTCCATATTATATGAGAAATCGGCATCCGCAAACTGCCGTGTGGTGACTGCTTCTAATAATAGACCGCTTTATTGTATGAGAACCTTGTTGTGCGCTGTTGGCATGCTAGATGTTGTATTACTGGAGTGATCGTCATTTCTGAAAAGCCATATAAAGATTTACAGCTAAACTAGAAACCAAACAAAGACAAGACCAGGACAAAAATTAGAACTTGGACAAATTATATTGGGCTGAAACACAGGGACGGGTGAAGAGTTAATTTGGAAAACAGATAAGTGCCATTAGAAAAATATTTGAAAGGCTTATTATTTGCCCTTTAGTACTTTTTTTGTTGAAAAGCAAGAACTATTTCAGTGCCATACAATTAAAGTTTTACCGCTTTTTGAGCAAATCCTTTCAAAATTACTGCCAATAACAAAACACGTTGAAGATTGTAGCTTGAAGAATCCAACTTTTTGACCATTTTTCAAAACCGAGATATCAATTTTTTGCAAATGAAAAAAAGGTGTACATGAATTAATACTGATAAGATAAATCTGCTTTTTAAAGTTACGTTTTCCGTTTAGATTCCTAAATAATTTCACATTAAGTATGTGTTTTAAATACTTTTCTTCTCAATCCTTTCTCTCTAAGGACGGCAGGATAGTGGTGAAGGCGTGCGAGGGCCTGATGATGCTGGTGAGTTTACCGGAGCCTGCTGCAGCCAAATGTCTGACAGAGAGCACAGAGCTGTGCCAGCTGCTCACGGATCGACTGGTGTCTTTCTACAAAGCGCTGCCTCAGTCCATCGACCCTCTGGACATCGAGACTGTGGAGTCAGTCAACTGGGGGTACAGATTTATTTATTATTATTTAGTGAACACTTTAATTAATTGAACACTTTTAAAAACTGAGTTACAAAGTGCAGCACTGTCAGCACAGCAACAATTAAAGACAATAAGAAGGAAAGAAAGCAAAAGAAGGCACACTGAGTACAAAACAATTCAACAATTAAAAACTATAGAAATCAGAAATATGATGCAAGCAAGTTATAATAAAGGCATGCATCAAAAATGTCATCACAATTTTATATTATATAATGTATTAAATTATACAATGACAGTTTAGCGAAAATAGTAAGGAAGGCCATTTGATAAAGTGACCTTAAAAAGAGATTGCTTGTTCATTTCCTCATTCAGAAGCACAATATTAAAACATGCAATCTCTAACTTTTCTTGTGGGTCTGACACCTACTTGTTGTTTCATCTGGCATTTTTCACGGTTTTGACTTAGTTGAATCCTAATGGAGTCAAGCAGGAGATGCAACTGTGCAAGTTTCACATCTATATAAAGGCTCAGAGAAAGCATGTTTTTTTTTCCTATATGATTTTTGCAATGATGACAAGTTGGTTGAAAAAGTTGAAGAAAGAAAAGATAAGCAGATTGGCGGCATGTTGTGTCTGATTTGTTCACAGCATTTTACTTTTACAAGACTCTCTGTTGGGACAAACAACATGTATTTAGGGAACAAATAAGTTCTGTAGCACAGCTTTAACATTTGCGTAGGCACATTTAAGTGTGCATTTTCAGAAATGGTTTTAATATTGCATGGATGTTCAAAAAATCGGCTGACCTTTTATCACCTTTTTTCACCTTCTTGCTCTTCCGTCCGTGCAGACTGGATGTGTACAATTTAAAAGAGGACGCTGCGGTGTTCGCCGGCAAACGCGCTCTCATCTCCTTCCTTTCGTGGCTGGATTTCTGCGACCAGCTCATCAAAGAGGCCCAGAAGGTCTGAGTCACTGTGCTTTTGATGCGTCACATTCTCCTCAGTCTGACAGCAGCAAAGAACTTCTCCACAAAGCTCCGCTGGTAGAGGAGGCAGGAGGCTGGGCTCTAATGTTTTGTGTTGTCTCTGTCACTGTCTCTTTCAGACGGCAGCGGCTGTCATGGCCAAATGTGTGCGGGAGCGCTTCTTTGTGGCGGTGATGGAGCCTCAGCTTATGCAGACGTGAGTTCCTCCTGTCAGGCTCCAGTCATTCAACTGTCAGTGAAGTCCAAACTCGCAGCTATAAGTTTAGCTCAGACTTATTCAAATGGAGTGAGTAGCAGGGTTGTCAAAAGTACCCATGATGATCACTGCTAAAACTGCTATCAAAACTACATACTAATTTGTGCAGAAAGTAAAGGAATAGCAGGCGGCAGTAGCTCAGTTGGTAGAGCATTGGCCTTTGAGCCTGAAGGTCGTGGGTTCAAGCCCACCATAAGACCTACTTCACGACTCCCTCTGATGACTGCTGTCGTTGTGTCCTTGGGCAAGACACTTAACCCCACTTTGCCTGAAGCTCCCGCTGAAAGATCTCAGCTCCTGTGGACTCACCACCTGCAGGAGGATCAGTGAGGGGCTGGTGCAAAGTGTACTGGGTGCAGCTCTGACTGCCACCCCCCCGACCCAGAAATCGATTAAGGGGAAGAAAATGGATGGATGGATGGATGGATGGATGGATGGATAAACAAGGCATCATTTGGTATTCTCTTAACAGATTTCTATTTACTTGGTAATAAGGTAACAATATTTTTCCTTTCACAGCTGTCAGGGAGAGTCATGGGAGGCTAACCAGAGCTACTTCATTGATAATGAGCTCTATAATTATCCTTTCAACATATCTGCTAATGTCACACAGTCACATGGAAAACAATGGGAATGTGCATTTAAATTCAAGACAATGTCTGAGTTTATAAGATTTTAATATTATATTATATTACATACAATATAATTCTTACAGCTTTTCTTTTGGTCGAGTTACTGACTTGTTTATTCGCTAGTATATGTAAAACAACACCACTGCGGTGGAGCAGACTGAGCCAAGTCTTCACATTCCAATCATGTCCTGTTGTTTATCAATTCTCCACAGCTGCAGTCGCCTCTGTTAACTCTGTGTTTGTGTCCTTCTCCACCTAAAGCTCGGAGGTGGGCATCCTGACGTCCACGGCTCTTCTGAACAGGATCATCAGACAGGTGTCCTCTGAGGCTTTGATGCAGGAGATGGTTCATTTCCTTTTGGGAGAAGAGAAGGAGGCAGAGACGATCGCCACCATCACACAGAACGCACTGAGACACAGACTGATCGAGCACTGTGACCACCTCTCGGATGAGGTTTGTCCCGTCAGGCTGTCAGCACTGCACCTGCTTTCAACTCCTAAAAACTACTATTTTTCTTTTTTTTCAAGTTGGGTTCCCTAGCTTACTAACATGGTATTTCCTGGTTTTTGGGAAATTCATACAGCTGTATTATTTCAGCAATCACATTTATACTCTCAGAGAAGTTTTCACCACATCTCTTTACAAGGATCAAACACATTTTGTCCAGATATATTATATCTGTAATGTACCAGACAGGTATAGTATAAAGTGTTTCATCTACACACCATATGAATTATGGTTCTCAAATTAATTATCCTAGATAGCAACCAACCAGTGGAAAATATCACTCAGGTATATAATAGGTGTATGATAAATATATATTGATTTATTTAGAGAACAGTGTCGCTCTTTTGTTTTACCTTCAAAAACACCCATAGACTCCTTGCCTCTAACCCCACGTCCTTGTCCACAGATCAGCATCATGACGTTGCGACTGTTCGAACAGCTCATCCAAAAGCCAAACCAGCACATTCTGCACAATCTGGTGCTGCGAGGTTTGGACGAGAGAAACTACCAGGAGAACAAGCCCCAGGACGAACGGGAACCACTGGAGAACGGGCTGCCCCATGACTCCGTGTAAGGACCCCCTCTGCCCCCAATATAAGACCAAATAATAAAATAAAGTGCATGGAAGTAGCTGTGTTTCTTTAGGTGTTACCGCCTATTATAGAGTGAATGTTATTTCTGCTGCAACTGTGTGATATTAATTATGAGCAGTGATTAAGGGGATTATGGTAATGCATGAAATGTCAGCTTTGAATAATTGGAAAGGGTTTTATTGACGTGTTGCTTGGAAACCTGATTCGTCCATCACATCAGAATTGTTGCAGAATGGGAGCTAGAACTGGACCAACATGGATCTTTGGGCTGGGCAGAAAATCCTTGAGAACAGCCACTCCACATCCATATTTAGATGTGTTCTTTGGTCTATGTAAACAATACAGATTTCTTTAATTTATTACACGCATGAAAATATATTTTTTTAATAAACTAGCCCAGGTGTAGGAGTTTTTTTTCTAGATATGTACAAAACTGGACTTAAACAGGAGCAATGTGTTCATGCACAGAGGATGTTGTTGCTTAATTTTGATTGAAGAGGAAGCAAACGCTAACTTCTTCATCTGACCCTCACATTTCAAAGCGATTGAGTAACAGGCAGATAAATTACAGTCAACACAGCTGTAGTAGAGTGGGTGTGTTGGAGATTTCAGTGCCGATACATCCTGAATACATTCACTGAATTCATGACATTTCATAATTACAATTTGGGTGTCACTATGAATAAAGAATAGGCCTTCAGACACTGCATTTTCCATCGCTTTCTTAATTTAAAAATATCTCTTAAATTTAAAATAAACAAGATATGACTATGTTAACTGGACTGAACTGGACTCACTCCAGATTGAGGAGACATGTGTTGAGTTTAAACTGGCAGGCACTGACCGAAGGAGAACGTCTGAGGGATACTTGCATCTGATTGGCTCAAGGGTCACTGCATTGGAACTGTAAAGTAGAAGTATCACAAAGTAGTAGTATTAGTAGTAGTAGTAAAGCAGTGGTCCTGGCCTAGCCGAGCATGAAAGACGCCCTAGTGGCATTCTGTGTGGGTCAAATGCAGAGAACTAATTACCCTACAGGAGTAAATAAAAGTGAACATAAAACATGACTTTTTAGGTTCTTCTAATAAGACAATTAATTGTCTTATTAGAAGAACCTAAAAAGTCATAAACATAAGAAGACAAAATGAATTTTCTACATTTGAACATAAAACATATATTTCTTTCCTGTTCACGTGTGTCATGTTCAATTTAAATGTTCTGTTGTCAGCCTAAACTCTGACGCTACATCTGTGGTGCCTCAGACTTGACTTGTATGAGAATGATTTCCACAATTAAAGGGTTAATTCTTGTATGTAATGTCTTGTACCTGGACGTCGACGCTGACATGTTTCTGTTGCTGCAGAGACTTGGAGGAGGACCCTCTGTTCGGGGACGACCTCTCTCCAGACAGCCGGTTGTCGGGCTCGGATTGGCTCAGCACATCTCCCCCGCTGAGTCCAGACCACTCCAAATCAGAGGGGAAGACGGAAGTGCATAAAATCGTCAACAGGTGAGTGAGGATAGATGTGTAATGAATAGGGCTGGGTATTTTTAAAACTCCCCAACACATGAATACATACTTAAATACAGGGCAAGACATGTTGCCCATTGGTAAGAATGAGTCTGGTGTGGGTAGAGAGTCAAAGAATAAGTGAGAGCCTTTGATTGTCCAAAAAAGCGCTGTGTAAAAACTGACACATAATGATGCCTTTTATGACTTACTTTTTTTTTTACATTTATCTAAAAATTTATTCATACATTTATTTAGCAAACCCTGAGTAATGTATCTTAACTGACATCACCTGCTCTGTATGTGGAAATAGTGATGTAGAGAAATTTTGTGATGTTTTTGTTGTTATTGTGTGATTTTTTTATGAATATTTTTTGTGTCGATGCTAAGTCTTTCCCTTTTTAACTGAAAAAAGAATCCACCCACGTGTACAAAAAAGTCCCCTTGAACCTTGGATCTTTTGTGTTTGTGTTGCAGTTTTCTGTGCTTGGTGCCCGATGAGGCCAAGTCGTCGTACCACGTGGAAGGCACCGGCTACGACACCTACCTCAGAGACGCCCACAGACAGGTGAGCCGTCCTGAAAGTCCCACACATGAGCTTTTTAATGATCCTTTCTGTTGTTGTTCTGCAGTTCAAAGACTACTGTGGTGTGTGCCTGCGCTGGGACTGGAGAGGACATCCCAAACCGCTAGAAAAGTGTAATTTGGAGGCTCCTTTTTTCGAGGGACATTTTCTAAAGGTCCTGTTTGACAGAATGGGACGTATCCTCGATCAGGTGAGTCCTGGAACTTTAACCATTTAAAAGTCAAACGAACGGGAGCCGGACAGCCGAGGAAGCATTTACGCCATTTTAGTCTTTTCTACTTCATATGCAGAGTCATAAGGATTCAAAACATCTCAACTTGTTTTGTATAGCACATTTACAACAACACCAGCTGTCCAATGTGAAAAGGAAAAGAAAACAGATATGTGTCTTTAGACTAGATTTAAAAAATAAAAATAAAATAAAATAACTCCAAAGAAGAAGCTGCTCTAATATACAGGGTTAGACTACTCAACACTTTGGGAGCAACAGAAAAGGCCCGGTCTCCTCGAGTTTTGAGACGAGACTTGGGCACAATCATCAGGCGCTTTTTCTGACCTCTCTGATCTGACAGGAGCATACAGAGTTAACAGGTCTGTCAGATACACAGGGGCCAAACCATTTTAACTTTGAAAAACAAGCATCAGAATGTTAAAATCAACCCTTGAATTTGAGTCAGTAAAGTGAGGCCAGCACAGGCGTAATGTGCATTCTTTAGTGTCCCTGTGAGCAGGCAGCAGCAGCATTCAAAATATCAGCATACTTGGTTTTCAAACTGCAAAAGGTGAAAGTACGTATTTAAACAGTCTGAATAGTTCCTCACAGTTTGGTTCAGTTTGGTTCAAAGTGATGCAGAGCTAACTGCCCTCTCTGAGCCAATCATCTCTCAGTCCAAATGACTCACTGGGAATTCTCATTATTTATCAAACTCAAAAGTGAGGTGCCCCAGATTTCAATACTGATTTAAAGATAATGGGAAAAAACTGTTTTTGTTGAAGAGCCACATCAGTGAACTCATTTTCACATTTATACAAAAGCTAAAGTCTAAACGTACATTTTGTTCTACTAAATCCTGTGAAGTGCATTGTCCTGCTGTTGATAAACAATTTGTTTGATTAAAATAATTGGTCTAATCCTCTAATTGAAGTTCTCAGATCATTAGACTAATGTTGGAGTTCCAGTTAGGACAAAGGCTCTTGGATCAGACGAGGTTATTATTTTAGTCTTTTGTTTTTCTGCTGAGGGAGAAGTTTCACACAAAATGCAAATGTTCTGCTGACGGCTCTAATGAACTCCAGCTGTTGAGGAAATCAAGTCCTGGTTTTCAGTGACGCTGGTGGCATTTTACACTTTATAAACTAATGAATTGACTCATTTTTATTTCTGCTTTTGGTTCACTGGGGTCGTTTTATGAAAGGGCAGTTCATTATTCTTTGTTCCTGTGTGTCACATTCATTGCCCAAATCAAACTCAGCGTGCACTGTTTGAAACTGTGATCATTTTAGATGAAAAGAAACTATATTTTGACTCAGTATTAGCACATACTAAGCCAGCTGTCACTGCTGAGACTCTAGTGTTTACATTTATGCTCTCTCTATGGTGATATTAAGAAGAGTGAAAATGTTCATTCATTAACTTCCATAAAAAGGATTTGGCTGTGTGGATCTTTCTTTATAGTTTTTCAGTATTTTGTTGAAGAAACGCACTCCCATAGCATGATGCTCCCCCACCATATTTGACACTGGGGAGGGTGTCGCTGAGCAGTATAAGCTTTCCCCCATAGATAACGTTTTGCGTTTGGGCCAAAAAGTTCAATTATTGTCTTGCATCATCTGACCAAAGCACCTTCTTCCACATGGTAGCTGTGCCCTCCATATGACTTCTGGCAAACTCCAAAACAGGACCATAGCTCTGAGGCTCTCACAGAACAGCTGTATTTACACTGAGAGTAGATCACACACTGGAGGCCTCTAATTAATCATTAGGGCAAGATGTGAACATTCAGCAGTCATTAGACATGTTTGCACTGTACATGGGAGCTTTGCACTGTACATGGGAACTATGCATTAGACAGTTTTGGCAGTACAAGGACATTACAAACCGACACATACTGTACATAACAACAAATACCACTCCTGTTTCGACTTCTACTTCTACATTTATCTGAAGGTTACATGAAAAACCATACATACCATACATTATTCTCTTGCTTTGATTTATGCAAACCAATATGAGATCAAATACATATACTGTGTTCCTCTTGTAGCTAACATGTTTAATTGTTGAAGGAATATTCTACAAAACCATGATGCTCTTTTGGAAAATAATCAAAAACAATTGAATAAGCTGTGTCGGATCTCGCTGGGTATCCTTTACTTTTGCCTTGTTTGGTACTTCACTTTCAATACTTTTTTTTGAGGTCCTGGTTGTAATCAAAACTAATTAAGCTTGAGAACAGCCACTCCACTAGTATTAATAATTGCAATTATTTTCAGGAGAGGTTTTAGTCAAGTGTCTCTAACCTCCTCTGTCGTGTGTCGTCTGCAGCCGTACGACGTCAACCTCCAGGTGACCGCGGTTTTGTCCAAGCTGTCTCTTCTTCCACATCCTCATCTGCACGAGTATCTGCTGGACCCCTACATCAGCCTGGCCCCCGGCTGCCGCTCGCTCTTCTCCGTCATCGTGAGGGTGAGAGGCTCCAGAGTTCAAAAAGAAATCTATGACAAGGATAAAGTCAATCTGAGAGTTTGTTCTTTGTCTTGTCCCTCATTCCTGCGCTGGTTGTCATATTTACTTACATATTCACACCCATCTTCACCTCTGTGTGTGAATATTCTAAATCCGTTTGTGCTTGTTTTCAGGTGGTGGGAGATCTGATGTTGAGGATACAGAGGATCCCAGATTTTACGCCCAAACTGCTGCTCGTGAGGAAGAGGCTGCTGGGAATGGAGCCAGAAGGACTCAAGTATGTCTCTGATAAATGCTGTTTTATTTGCTTAGAGCAGACTTGTGTGTTCCAGTAAGTGATGCAACTAAACTGGATCTGACCCAAGTAAACCGTCGGTCCCATGTTCGCTCCTGGACACGGTGCTGGGAACCATCGAACATTTGATTCACACTAATCTTTACTTTGATTTAAGTCGCACAAACTGTCAGAAATGTTTTATTGGTTGATCTTTTTATGGTGCTTGGTATGGTATGGTAAACATTAACTAAAAAAGGAAAGATAAGCTTATAGCAAAAGATGCTTATTTCAGTAGTTGCACACACACACACACACACACACAGACTCATCAATTTTGACGTCTTGCAAGACATCCATAATTGGCCGATCCTACTAATTTTATTAAACTTAAATAGACATTTGATATCTAAATTCATTTTAAAGCTCAGAATCTGCTACATCCACACCTGCATACCCCGTATTACAATCCCCACACACACATGGATGATGACTGGAGAAGGTCGCCTGCTGCTGTTGCTCATAATGGCTGCTGCAAGGTCACAATGTCATTCATTTATTCAAGATGGAAAGTCCTGTATGAATATTTTTTATATTCTTTAATATTCTTCTTCAGAGTTAGAAAAAATTTACTTGCAATACACATTCATCTTCAAAGTGACTACAGCTGATCAGAGAAAGGAGAGTTTAAATATGACAGGATTCAAAATATGATTATAGATTCAGCGGGTGAAGTTTAGTTTAGTCTTTAGTCAACATTAAGGTCAAACAAAGACAGATACGTTCTGCATAGGGGTGGGAACCTAAGGGTACCTCACGTTACGATACGATACACAGCTCACGATAACGATATCACAATAACAATTTTATCACGATATGACGATTATTGATATATTGGTTAGAAATATACAATATGCCAATTTATGGCATAAATAAAAGAAAAATTACTCTTTATTTCATGATACATAGAATGGAGATGCGTAATGTAGCCATTTATTAAGTATTGATACCAATTCAAAAAAAAAATCCTATATATATATTTTTTCAAAATCGATATCGATACTTGGCAAATGCATATCGATAATCAAATCGCGGGAGAAAGTATTGCAATATATCAAAAAATCGATATATCGTCACACCCCTAGTTCTGCACCAGGTTATAGCTACACAGCTCATTTCCATCTGCATTTCCTGGTTACTAGGCAATTGGCAGAATTTTTTAGCTCTAAAAAATTGTAATCTACCCAGTCCCCGGTGAACAGTAATTCTTTTTGTTATTTGAGCGACTCTTTGGTCGACTGAGTGTTTCCTTGTGTCGCAGCATTGACCACATGACTCTCCTGGAGGGAGTGATCGTTCTGGAGGAGTTCTGTAAAGAGCTCGCCGCCATCGCCTTTGTCAAATACCACGCCACCGCCGCATCCTCGCCGTAACCACAGACACGCTTATGTCTGTGCGCCCGAGCCAGACTTCACCACCAGAGGGAGCCCTGCAGTCTCAGGTGGGAGAGGACAAAACAGGTTTGTTCTGACGGATGAGAAGTCTGGTTCAAATCTTGTCTTGGGGAAACATGTTTTTGGACTATACTGGATCAGAACCAATAAATAAATATGCATTATACATAAACTCGATCCAGGACTTCTGCAAGGACTAAACCAGGACAACGCTGTGGTCTCCAAGTTCAGATTTCAGTGGGGAATCGTAGCCAAAACACTGCCCAGATTTGAAGATAAAAGTATTCGGGCGTCTGGGATCGTCCTGGTGCTGCCAAACGAGCAATCACTATCCAGTATACACACACATATTTATTTCTGTCTCCACCGCCTTAATGTGGACGCCTCATTTTAAGACTGTTCCCGTTTCATAAACATTAAGATCAATGTTTGTGTTTTGACTATAGGATAAAAAAACGCTCATATTACTATGTACATGGGGTTACATAACACCTTTTAATGCGCTTTCTTATTTATTGTATCTTTTGCTTTCAGGTTGCCTTTTAAATAATGTTAAAGAAATTATTATGATGGCAGAATCTATTTGTGTTTTGTCTGTTGTGTCATCCAAAGATCTCACCATCCAAATGTTTGAGCCACATCCAGAGAAACCCTTCGAACCAGTGCAACAGAAGTACAACATTTGTTTTTGGGCAAATGTTCCGTGGTTTTGGGTTCGTTATTTCCATTAACGCTTTCATATGATTCAAACTTTGATGCTTTTTTGGAGCTTTTTAAAATAATAAATAATAAATAATGATCCTAGTGAGGGTCCCAGTGATGACCTGCCCTGCTCCTGACAGACGCCCTCTAGTGGCACTGAAGGATGGGTCAAATGCAGAGGACACATTTTCTTACAGAGCCAAGAATCTAAACCAGAATCTAACCTTGAATTGAAAGTGGCAATTCTATCTTGGGACGTAGGGTTTTGTTTATGACTTTCAAAATAGAAATACAGACCTAAATTGGTTCAAAAATGTATCTAAAGTCCATTGTAGTTTTACCTGGACACAAGACGTTCTTTTATACATGACCTGATTAATACCTATCTGTGGTTTCTCTGGATGAGGGTCTGGAAATATTTATGATTTTGAATGTTTTGACCTCTTTGTTCTGCATACAGCACATGTTACATTTTTGTGGATTTTCTGGTTCTTTCTTCAGTTTCCACAAGTGTTATTTCCACTCTCAAGCTTCTTATTTTAATATATTTTCCTGACAGAGGTGCAGACTGTTTTACAGTGCATACTATGGTCTTATTTACCTCCAGTATTAGGGATCATGGTGGTGGATGAGAAAAGGCTCTCGATGCTCGATGTGGGAGGATTTGAAGTCGGGTTGTGGACTTATTACCTCAAACGCTTTAGAATGAATAGAAAAAAAAAAAGCGAAATCCAAGAGTAATTATCTTTCTAGGTGTTTTAAATTACTCAGTGGTGAATGTTTGGAATCGCTTTAATAATTGCCCTAAACTCACTTTAACTGTTTGAAATGCAGCTTGGAAAAAGTTATATTAATCATTAAAAATGTAGCGACAGGCTTAAAGCTGGGGTAGGTAACTTTTTGCTCTTCGTAATTAAGCTATAAGTTTGAAATATACAAAATAAAGGATCTTAATATATTTTTCTGTTTTTCTTATTTTGTGAAAAATTCTTACCACAAAATACTGTTTTTATTGTAATGAAAAATCTTAACTTTTTCATACTTAAATCCTTGGGAGTCACTGTTTAAACTAAAAAATATGCAATAACAAGTGATTGAACCAAACAGTTTTGAGAGCGAGGAACTACAGTAAGTAGATGGATTTTAATATACAGTTAAATTAGTTGTGGTTTGAAAGTTAGATACCCCAGCTTTATTTCAACCTCAAATTCCACCTATTTATCTTCCAATCCTTTTTAAACATTTTATGAACACTGCTGCACAAAAATCCATGCAAAACAATAACAACAATTGCTCCAACAGTGCACACATAAAATAAATAATTGAACATTGGGGAAAAAAACCTGCAATTTTGAGTTTTAGCCGTTAAACAGTTCTAATAACACAACCCCTCTTCAAAACCCTGAGGTCTTTGTGCGCTCAGCCACTGCCTTTTGGTGAAGCTTTCATCGCAAATGTTGAACGCTGTGTTGTTTAAATCTTTTGTCTGGAGAGAAAGAAGAAAAATAGAACTCATTTCTGGTCTCCTTCGTCACTCTCGCACCCACGCCGCATATGCAACAATCCCATTTGCACATCGTGTACATAACCATCGTGAAAAGCTTTAGTTTTTCCCTTTTACCGCCGCCCCAAATTATTATTTTTTCATACACATAAATATATAGCGTAAGAGTGACGCGTCTATTTTTAACTTTTTAAATGGAATCATGCACATTTTGTAATCTTTCGTGTACAGATGTATATTGTATTGTGTACAGTAGATAGCGACAGACTACCTGGTGTAATCGCATGCCCATACCTTTCATTTTCTCTGCGTAAAAAGAGGACATTTACGACGATTTAATGCCTTATGACACTGTGGAAATGTGAGATTTTGTAGATTTGAACATGTTTTAGTTCCGTTGCTTCTGAAACGATGATTTGCCTGTGGTTCACTTTTCGTCTTTGGTTAAACGTTGGACACTTCTTATCTTAAAATGGGTTGTAATTCTTTTTAGGGTTGGTTTGTTCAGTCCCTGGTTTGAAAAGTTAAAAAGAAATGTTTAAGGTATTGAGTTGTCACTGTCTTTTCAGTAATTTGGTAAAACAATGGTTAAAAAAATAAATTACTTTAAATTGTTTGCCACATATTTGTCGACTGCTTTTGTCTTTTAATGGTGTATAATGTAAAACTATAAATTATATTATATGCTTTGTATTTTATATTTTTATGTCCAAATAAGAATATGAAATACAAGTTTATGGTTACAGTATGTCATGATATAAAATGTTACTTTGTTTTGATATGAATTATGATTTTGACTGGGGCCCTTTAAACTGATTCTGTTTGAAAAGGCCATTTGCAATTTATTAGTCCCATTTAGAAGCAAAAATAATTTCAATTGAATCCATATCGTTTAAGTCTGACTAAAGTAAATGAAAAAGGAGGTTCTCTTCACACTGATGTCACATGTCTTTATTGTTCACATTTGATCTGAGTTGGAATGATCCATATCAGTGTTTCCCTGCCGGCGGTAAACAAACACTTGACTTCACTGACGGTAAATTAATGAATGTTCAAGATGGACATACTGAGTGTTTGGGGAGCACAGGAACACACTGATACTTCAGGGTTAACCCTTTAGGCGCTAAATCCAGGACACTTTGTATACAGCGCCCTGGTTTACTACAAACATTTCTATTCATTCCTGAGCATGACACAAAAGGGCTCGTTTGTGATTTTAGGAATTAAGTTTCTATTCCTCAAAAACATTGTTACAGGAGCAACTGTGATGCTCCTGTGTTTGCCTGAAATAAAAATACATAAAACAAATACAATGATATATTTAGTCCCTTTAGTGACTGGAGTCTGAATTTAAACATGTTTATGGTGAGCTGCATGTGAATGAGAATAACTTGAGATCCACACCGGTGTTTCGTGCACAAAGGCATTGTGTATAATTTATTTCACTTTAGTCGACTTCATATGTTACCACTGCTGTTTTACAAATATGCTTAGACATTCAGAGTCCCCATTAAAAAAATAACTTCTTCAACAAGAGATGTGGTCATGTCTAACACTTTTCTATACTTTTTAGCTCGTTATTACAAAACATCTGTACAAGAAACACAAAAACTGGAATTGACTTTTGAAAACTAAACCACAACATAATTTTAACGTGAAGAAAACCGTTGCCCACCAATAGATTTTTTTTTAATATAGCTAGTTACAAATAGAAGAATCTGGATCTTTGCGCTCCAGTGATTTGTACAAGATGGAAGAGGCACGATGGTGCAGTAAAAGGCTGTTCACACTTGACCGTGACTCGGTTCACTCCAGAAGAAAAATATCTGGTTCCATTAAAGTGATGTCTTTTGAAGTGGACCAGAGTTCACTTCAATTGGACCAAGTGTGAATGCATCCGAAACTCCAAGTTCCCTCACAGACACAAAAACATCAGGGCGAGTCTGTTCTCGTGATCAAAGATATCGTCCGAACACCCGCTGATAAAAGTAACATTAGCGGTCAAAACACTTTGTTGCACAACTATTCTGACAGGGTACAGTACACCCTACGCTTGTTGCCATGGAGACGTCATTGCTTTGCTTGTAATGTACCTCAAATACATTTCAGTACAGATATTTCACTGCTAAAAAAAACGTTGGGTCAAGCTGATATGACCTAGCGAGATTTATGGACCCAAGAAGAAGCATACTCTCAGCCAGGAAAGTTACGTAGTGTGGCTTTAAAGTAATTATTTTTTTCAGTTTGTCACCTGAATGTCTTTTTTCTTGTTTTATGGGTTTAAACCAGGACAAGGTTTTGCGGCTCCATTTCATGAAACCAGAGATACACCTTTCCAAAGATGAAAAAAACGTTCAAAATAAAACATAAAAAGATTTTCTTTTTATATTAAGCTTTGAATTACGACTCCAGATCAGTGTGTGATTTGCCAATATTTTAACATTTTGATTTACACCAGGAATGTGCTTAAGGTCACATCACATCTTTGAACTGACTAAACAAGATATGATCCAATTTACAGCAAAATATTTCAATTTCAGCAGAAAATAAATCTTGGAAGAAAAAAAAACTGGAGCAAAAGGACTTCCACTTTTTACAATTTGAGAGGGATGAGGACCATTACGGGACATTACAGATCATTGCAATGTCTTTAAAATAGGCAACGTACTGGTCTGAGAATAAACTAGAATCTGCATTAGACTTACACAGGCAAAACACGATTATTTACACTTTATATTTTAACATTTAGCAAAAGAACCAACCATTATCACCAAGTAGGAGAGGAAGGGCGAACTAGTTTTTATATTCTGTTTATCCCTCATCAAAAATATTCAGCTGCTCAATTCTGTTTTTCAATTCCTACTCAACTGTCAATTTAGTGCAGCAAAAATGGAACTTCATGCATGAGTTATAACATTTTCATTCTTCATGAAGCTAATACTGTCAGTGACTTAATACAAAGTGTAAATAGGGGTCGGAAGCATCGTTGAGCAAGAGGGGGAAAAAAACATACAAAATAAGGATGACAAAGATGAATGAGGTCATGTAACTGATTGTACAATATACAGCTGATGTTTTGCCATTTTCCTTTTCATTTAAAGGAACAGTATGTGGTTTGTGACTTCACTGGTTTAACTTGGGACCACAGACCAAAACCAGCTGACACCAAACCATAAATAACGTTGCCATGTTTTTTTTTTTTTCAAGGCTACGTTTTTGCACATGTGGCTCAAGAGTCCAGACAGATAGAGATGCATTTTAAAGTTCAAATCTCACATACTGACCCTTTAAAGCTGGGGTACCTGAATATGGAACAGCAGACGGTGGAATTGACGCCGCTTGCATGTGCGTGTCTGATCGGATGGGACATTTCTCAGATTTTCTTTGGAGCAAACCAGGATGAATTTTACCTTTAGCAGTCTTTCTGTGGCAATTAAAAAACGTATTTAGGTAATATAATTAGGAAAAACTTAGAGAAAAACCTATTCTGTGTTCAACCCTGGAGTTTTGTTAATCCATTTACTATTTTTGCGATTCTGACAGTCAGTTTATTTGTGCTTGAAGCCCTGAAGATTGTCCAAGTCAATGGGAAGATGTGACCGATAGAAGACTATACTAAGCTTCAAGGCAAAAATCTACATATACTTTCTGCAATCATGAAAATAAAACATTTTTTTAACCGTCTTTGTACCAACTTGAAAGCTTCCGTAACTTTCTGAAGTCGCTTTGAAAATCCCACACACGGGTGCATTCAATTCCTCAAACATACACCGAGAAAAAACCCTTATGCAAATCATTTCTCGTACATACAAAAAAAGGAGGAGAAAAAAACAGTAAAAGTAAAAAAAAAACAAAAAACTACAAGCCTCGCACAAACTTAAAAACGGGCTAAAAATACAGGTTAGAAAAATATGTACATTTGAATCCGCCCCCATTTTACAAACCTTTTATTCACGTTTGTATGTCTGTGTGCTGGCGGCCCACATTCGAACGCTTCAAGTCTCTTTGGCTGGCACGTATAGTGGGTTCATCACCATTGACAAAAATATCACATAGAAAAAGGCCATCCAAAAAACAAAAAGGATGTAGTGATATCGTTTCCTATGCAATAAAACTATATATATATATTTATTTATACATATACCAAACTGTACTGTAGAAGCCCACACAAGCCCGGGATTGTGTGTGAATACATGATCACATTCAGAAGTGTGACGTGGGGGGGAAAAAACGCGAGGAAGGCATCAATAAATACAGATGTCAGTCCAGAAGGAGGAGGGGAGGAATGGGGTGGGGTCAGTCGCCTTTCGAGTTCTGTGCCGTGTCCAGGTTGACCACTTGCAGTTCTGTGAGGCTAGTGCTGCTGCCGCCCGCTTGTCCAATCACCATCTGCACCCAGGCGGAGAGAGAGAGAGTCACACAGGATGAGAAACCGTTCACAGAAGCAAAAAGACAAGACAGAGAGACACACGAGACAGAGGCAGAGGTGACACCCCCCGACTGTGGACGTCTGGAATAGATGAAGCTGGGGTACCTTACTTTCGGACCACAAGAGATTGAACTATGGCCGAAAAATCCATCTGACGAGTTCCCATCTCTCTGAACAGTTTTATCACTAGTTTTGATGTCGCTTGTCTGTTTTGGGCATTGGGAGAAATTTAGATTGGCTTTTTATGAGCAAAAAATGTAAAAGAGGATTCAGCCAATCACCTCTCAGACCAAAGAGTCAAATAGTGACTCTCAAGGCTCTTATGAGCAAAAAATATGTTTGGATGTAGTTAAAGACAGCATGTTGTGGTCTGATTTCTACATAACATTTTACTTTTCCAAGAAGAGGTATCATTTTTTTTGCTGATAAACGGTATAAATGAGTGTCCAATAGTGTTGTCTACATATCCTGGTCATAATTTTGTCACTTTGGTGCAAATTAGTTGAAAGTTAAACTTTCTGCCTAAAACCGTCTGAGGCGCCATCTGCTGGCGACCTGTATTACTACATTTGAATTTTGAATCTGGCGCCAACACTGGCGCAGCAGCAAGACCTGACGTCAGCAGCCCCCCGCCCAGAGCAATGTAAACGGCCCAGTCTCGTTCACGCCCCCTTTAGTCCTCCAGGCTACACCCATTTAGAGGAAGATTTGAACAGGAAATGTGAGTGACGTAAGCTCCGAGGAGCGGGGGTGAGAACCACTTTAAGGAATACTTTTACTTTCAGTCTGTATGATCTGAGGAGACTAACAATGGGACGTAGCTTTTGGCTTTTTCAGAACCAGGAATTTGGAGTGAAATACGTCTCATGGCAGCATACTAGCAGCCGAGGAGCCAATCAGGAACGAGGCAGGTCTAGCTCAAACTGCTTCCACAGGATGGGGTCAGTTTTACAATGGCCAATATCTTGATTTATGAAAATTACAACACCAGGATCATGTAGAACGTGGAAACCAAAATATTTTAAGTCAAGAGTTCATTGGAGCCCATGACTTTTATCTTAATACAGCCCATTCTATTACAATCTTAAAAAATGTTTTGCCAACCAATTAGTCTGGTGATACTCCACCTTGTATTAGTGCTTATAGTTCTAACATTGCTTCTCTCAGTACCAGGCATGTTTTTGAATTGTATGATCTTGTGTAATCTATCGCTGATAAATTAGTATAGCGACAATGTTTTCATGTTTAAATCCTCATCCATTCAAATCGTTCTGTTGTGAAAGAGCCGCTTCAGTAGAAATCGACTCACTATTGACTCAGACTTTGTGAAACTAATGTTCAAAAAACTACCGGTAATTTACCCGGTTTAAAAGCTTATTTCTGATCATATCATAGCCTCAAGTTGCCCTCACGTCCATCAGAAAGAGGGTGTGGCCCTGCAGAGCTCTCACTCCACACCGCAGCACTGCACTGGAGCAAAAACAGCAGCAACTTCAGATTCAAACAACGATTACTACAGCTCCCGAGCCGGCGACGACGGATACACGTTTTCAGACCCTAAAATGAACCCTATGTTTAAGTCTGATTGTGCTAAGTTTAGTTGAAGTTCTAAACACTTTACACTTTAGGATCAAATGCCTCTCTCTCTGTGGTTACTGGAGGTGTTATTTAGGTATTTAGGTTTCTGTTGTGGTAAATATAGAAATAAAATAAACAAAATCAGTTAAAAAAAAGGTAGCTATAGAAAATGCAAGCACACATTCAGAACCTACACTTATTAGTAAATCCCAAAAGTACAAGGCTTCTCCACATAGATTTCTTTGACCAACAGAACCGAGAATGAATTTGCCATGAGAGAAAAAGTAATTCCTCAGTAAAAAATTAGATTAACCAATGTCCTAATCTCAACTCAATCTATATTTAAGTGTAATTTTGAAAGATATTTGTTTAGGGACAAAAGTGCATTCCACAGATCTGTCTAATTTCACTCAATTGTTTAATTTTTTTTTTTTTTTACTTCCATTGATTATACACTCCAGCATCTCTTGAAATCTCTCTGAATCCACAGTTGGCACATGACTTAAAATATCTTATAAAAGCACGATATTAAAGTGGGATTATTTGAAGTCTCCAATCTTCCATGCACTTGTGTTTGACCGACAACGGTGTGAAGCCATCATCCAAAACCATTCAGACCAAAGCCGGTGCTGTTTTAGTGGAGCTTTAGTGCTGCATGCTGCTGTGCAAAGGGGGAATTTGAGAGTTTCACTTGTGAAATGCAGATCTTGCCGTACTGGGTGAAGCTGCACCGCCGACACCGGGATCTGCACGGTACCCGGAGGCGCCGTGAGGTACACCTGCGGGACCCCCCCTGAACACACAGAGAGAGGGAGAGAGAGAGAGAGAGAGCGAGAGAGAGGAGAGAGAGTGTGAGTCGAATAGTCACCTTTACATACTCTTTAAACAGTGGATGCAAAATAATACACTGTTATTCTCTGGTCTTAGTGTTCTTGTTACATCTCCATGACAACATGACAGCTATTACCAATTATTATGTTGTGTCTGGCGAATGGCGAGTGATTACCGTTGTAAGGCAATGTCAGACACTTAAACTGTATTAACACCGGTAAGATTTTCTGAAGGAGAACTGGTTTTACTGATATTGACCTCAATTTAACCAGGAAAGCCCCACTGACATTTTCAGAGTCCTGGCCCCATGTTTTTAGCGGTAAGGGAAACCTGATTATCCGGTTTACACCAGTGAACACAGGAAGAACATGCAAAGCCAGTCAATTAATGATTTGAATAGTTTTTGACCAATCAGGAGGCATGACTAATTCTATGCTGACACCGAAAGCCCACATATGTTATCTCCAATGGTACCAGAAAACCAGTGGAGCTAGCACACAATGAAAACATGTACACTACAATCATTAAAGCAATAATTGACTGTAGACTCAAAATGAAGAAACTTTATTTGAATCCTTCCTAATATCAGAGTAATATCAGAGTAATATCAGAGTAAGACGTCGGAAGAGAGGGGGGCTTGGGCGACTGCTCCCACTTAATCTCGGACTCAGACGCCATAGATAGACTCTTCTATTCCATCCTTTTCTGTTCCATCAAATAAATACGAGAGAGAGTGAGCACTATTTAGCAGATCTACTCGAGACCTGCTCACGCGGTTGTATTTCCTGTATATGTATACATTTACTGAGATAATAAACCACACTTTGATTGTTTACAGCTCTTTGTTTATTTTATATTTAATTATTGTGTATTTCAGTCCTTAGAAATTCCACAACAATGGGAATCTAATTAAAATTAAATAAATCCTAGGTGGTGAAATCATTTCAAGTTTCAAGTTAGGTTACAGACTTGCTGTTTGAAAGCGACTTTGATCAGTCTATTCAAAGGTATAGGAAAATGTTCTACTTCCGGGTGGATCATCAAAACAATTGGTCCTCCCCATTGTCAATCATTCTGGTGATACATGCTTGTTACAGAAGCCCAGAGAGTTTTGTTCAAAAAGTTGAGAGGGTGGTTCTTTCCTAAAATTGGGGAAAATCCTCCTATATACCTTTCATGTTATGATCCCTCTCCAAAAATCACAAAACACCCCCCCAAAAAATGAAATAATAAAATCAAATGTCTTGGTCATTATTTTATTGGTAGTTGTTTACATGACCATCCCACGTGCGCCCCTCTGCACCCACCTGCGTCCTGGCCCTGCGTGTGGGACACCTGCATGGTGGACGTGCCCTGGGTGAAGGCGTTGAGCACTGCCAGCCCGCCGTCCAGCGCCGGGGACGAGGCGTACATGACCGTGTGCGGGCTGGGGTACATCATGTGACCCGCCACTGTGGTGGGCACCGACGACGTGACGATCGTTGCCGGGAGACTCACCGTGGCTGAAGAGCGGACAGAGAATAACACCATGAGTGATGATCATGATGATGGAGATGATGAAGAGGCCTATCAGAATTACTGTTTTGCTACACAATTTGGGGCTGAATATTTTTGGTCAGTGCCTTTCTTTTGCCTTCATATTTCGTTTAATATCATCTTTTCCATCATGAAGAGATTTGCATCATTTGGATTTCAGCTGCACAAGGTTAAACTAAAGTCAATTTCATGTTGTACCATTTCCCTTTCTTTACTGGTGGCTACTGTTAACGTCACACTGTAGCCACCAGAGGGAGCTGTAATTTAGACAACAGGATTCAAGCTGGCGTGTACTTGAACTTCAGTCTGACTATATTCTTCACATTAAAGTTAACAAAAATTCACATTTCTCTGCAAACATTTTTTGACTTTTTTCCTGTATGCCTACTGTTGTACTGTTCCATGAAACACTGACGTTACTCCACAATAAAAAAAAAAAAGGTTCCTTAATAAATTGTGGTAAACTACAGCTAAACACAAAGCAGCTTTCCAGGAACTTCCAGGAAGTGGCTGAATGTGAAAAGGAAAACACAATCTCAGCACTAAAATATAACTGTATTAAATATTGTGAATATGCTCCACTTGCTTGCATTTACAATAAAATACTTCATTCATAGTTCATTTATAGCAGCGTGAATTAAGAGCAAACGGATTCATGTCCTCAGAAGCACAGGGACCGGCCTCCTGCTGCTGCACGGACGAAACATGGGGAGGCAGAGTTTCAGATGTATGCAGCTTATATATGGAACAGTCTTCCTGAGGTTGTGAGACAGGTCTCTACCCTGACCATGTTCAAAACTGGGTTGAAAACATATCTGCTGATTCTAACGGATTCTATTTTGTAAAATGTATCACTTTTCAAACCCCCATTTTAATAGAGTTTTAAGAGTTTTAAGCACAGTATTTTTGTGCTGCTCTGTATTAATATTAAAGTGTTATATTTTGATGCATCTTCTTGCCTTTTTGATTTTTTTTATACATTTAGATCTGTTTTTACATAGCTCTTAAAGAACTTTGAATTGAATGTCTTGTTCACGAATTGTGCTATATAAATAAATGTTGATTGATACTATGCCAAGTATTACCAAAATGTAAATCAACAACTTTTCATATCGCGAAGACTGCAAAAATAAATCCAACTGGCAAAAAATGATCAAAACAGTGAATACAATTGCGATTGTAAAACACCTCTATAAATACCAAAGCCATGGAACAAAACAAAAGACAAATCTGGTTTCCATCGATGCTATTCTTAATATTTTAATTGTGTCATCATAAAAGCCTTCACTCATTCCAATTCTACCTTTATTGATTAACAAAGCAGATTTATGTATATTAGGACTGTCAAACGATTCAAATTTTTAATCGAGTTAATTACAGCTTAAAAATGTAGTAATCGCATTTCGACCCATTAGCCAAATGATGCCATATTTTTCTGTAAATGGTTGTTTGAATGGAAAGATAAATGACAACATAGTGTACATATGTACAGTATTTGTTTATTATAACAATAAATCCATATAAAATGGCATTAACATTATTAACATTCTGTTTTTCTGTAGTGACTCAGACCAAAACTATTGTTATACAGGGATGAGTTCAAAGCTGTCTGAAATGCAGAATGTCATTAAATCTGTTTGATTTGATCACAACATTTTACTGTTGGGCACAACCAACATGAGCTGTTAATGCAAGGGAAAATGTACGTACCCCAGCTTTAATTTAGCAAGTTTAGTTGCGTTTCAGGAGGAGACACTGGGGGGACATGGTCCAGCTTCAGCTGTGTATTTGCGTGCACAGGTTACGCAAAGACACGCACACACCATGCAGAGAATAGTTCTGTGCGTGCATGGTCTTGGATATGGTCACGTTACGACGGCGCCGTTCGGCGTGTTGTTGTTAGCGGCTCACGGAGGAGGCGGACTCCCGTTCAGTTCATAGCAAACAAACACCAAGTGCCCCGCGGTCACGCGTGTATTCTTTTATAACTTGAATTCCAAGAAGGCCTACCTGCTCTGTTGCCATCTCACACATGCATGTGTCTGCGGCACTTGAGTGTTATTATGGGATACATGGGCAGGTCATCCGGACATGCGTATATTGTGTTAATTTTTTTTCAACGCGATAAATGAAACAGATTAATTAATGTGCATTAACGCAGTTCTAAATAAAGAAATGCTGTGGACTCACCTGTGGAGTTGTCCCCGCTGCCGTCGCTGTTACTGTTGGCCTGAGCGTTGGGATGGACCTGAATGGCCTGAAGCTGCTGTGGAACTCCTGCCCCTGAACACAAGGGGGCGAGAGTCGGGACAATAAATCAATGAACAGACTTCTACAATTAAAAGCCACATACAGAGGAACGGGAAGTGTGAACAGGGTGAGGTTAGTTGAAGAAAGAAGCCGTGAGAGATCATTCATGAATCACCAGTAAGGATTGATTCAAACAGCTCTGCGAAAAACAAGGTTGGGGAAAACGATGGGCCTCAAATGAATCCAGTTAATTCAGTGTCCGGCAGGTTTTGCTGTCGCCATCTTAAATTTGATTACATCTATGTTTTTTAACAGTTACATTACACAAGTTTCCCGTTGGAGGGTTGTCTTTTTGATTGGTCCCATCTGAAAGTTCTTTTGCCTGGGATGTCATTAAACATGACATACTGGTGACATCACTGGGCTACAAGTCATATCTACGGAGAGGAGACCTAATGTAAGAATTCAGGCATCTTTAGGCAGAAAAACATATGCAATTGCTGTACTGTACATTATACTGAGGTTAATGGATATAACAAAGGACTTTGTCTGCTGTAGAAATTATCTTGCACAAGTCTGGTTAAAACGGAAACAGCTGTAGATTATGACAAAGCATGTCAGGTAAAGAAGTAGCACTAGCTTCTTTAAATGCTTAAAAGAATTTTAGAGGGATATCTAGTGCCCTCTTGGACGCTGCTGCCCCTCCCACAGACAGAATGGCCATGTCTTGTTGTTCACAGAGCTGTTGGGTTAGCCGTTAGCATTAGCTTGAGCGTGAGCGTGAGCCGTGTCAGGGCGTTTCACCTGTGAGGGACACAGCGGCGGGGAAGCGGAAGACTGCCTGCTGCCCCTGCGCTGATGCCTGGGCGGCCCCGTGCTGCCCCTGAAGCGCCAAAGAGTGAGACTGCAGCTGGCTGAGGGGGATGGTGGGGGTGCCAGGGGGGAGAGGGGTGCCCGCTGCAGAGGGCACACAGCCAAGAGAGACAAGTGTGAGCAGAGAGGAAACATCATGAGAATCAAGAGTGTTCTAGAAAGTCTCCTCAGAGGGGCCCACACCCCACTTTGGGGACACACCGCTATAAAAGCATGGCAAAGAAAAAATAACAATTCTCAATTATATTTGGCTAAGGAAATTTAAAAAATCAACTATGATGTAACTTCATAGAGGATAAAATTCATTCAAGTTGATAGAAAATGTTTCAAAACAATATCAGGTCTCTGCATAAATCACAGATCATTATGGCTCAGTGATTGCATTTAGTCCATTTGTTTGATACTAAAAACATTGGGCCTCATTCACGAACGGTTCTTAGGAACAGATGTGTACGTAAATCCTACTTACGCGGTTTTTAAGAAGAAAGTGGCATTCACGAATATTTCTCGTAACCAGAATTTCTCTTGGGCAAGTACAAATCCTACGAGTCCTCAGGAGCACTCGTACGCATTCAGTGCCGACATGTTCACACGCCGGGGTTGTCCTCTTTGGTGAAGTTGAATAAAAATACAACATTCCAGTGATATGTCCGTCATATCGATGTATGTATTTATTTATTTGTAGTAATTTTTATTAGTAATCTTTATTTATATACCGCCTTTTTCACTGCAGATCTGGCCTACTTTTTAATTCATTTTTAAATGAAATGTGCCAACGCTTTATCAAATACATTGGAAATCTTGCCGTGTATTAGTGACCCCTTCCTATTTATAGGGGGCATTTCTTTATCCACGGGCCACAGAACAACGGCATATATACTGCTGCTCCAGGAGGTTACTGGGTCCGCGCTGAGTCTCTGCGCTGGTCTCTCCTATGGATCTATACGGGTCTGCACTGGTCTCTCCCATGGATCTATACGGGTCTGCACTGGTCTCTCCCATGGATCTATACGGGTCTGCACTGGTCTCTCCCATGGATCTAGACGGGTCTGCACTGGTCTCTCCCATATACGGGTCTGCACTGGTCTCTCTCCATACGGGTCCGTGCTGCATGCTCCTGGATCCATACGGGTCCGCGCTGGTCTCTCAAGTCTGGTCTATGCGGTCTATCTTCGGTCCGCGCTGGTCTCTGCGCACCGGTCTCTCCAGTCAGGTCACTACAGTCTATGCGGTCTCTCCTATAGGTCCGCGCTGGGTTCTGTGTGCTGGTCACTCCAGTCTCTCCTCGGGTCTGCATTGGTCTCAGCGCTGGTCCGCGCTGGATCTCCTCCCAGGGTCCAAAATATTTTGAGATTAATCTCAAAACATTTTTAGATTCATCTTTAAAATAATACATTATATATTTTTTAAATTAAGCTCATAACATTTTGAGATTAATCTCATCATATTCTTAGATTAATCTCATAATTTTGCTAGTTCGACTTTATTATCATAATATTTCGACTTTTAAGTCAACATTTTATAACTTTATTCTCAGTCTGGTAAAAGAAGAAAAAAGGGTGACTCTTTTGCTCCGTGGCCTGTTGCTTTAGGCCTGTTGCTGTTTCCTCTGCCGTCTGCACACGGCCCTGCAGTCCCTTATATGGGCATTAGTGGGCGGTTACTTATGCTAAGTACCTATGCTAATGAAGCACCTGGCACGCGCGCTGTACTTACGAGGAAATGGGATTCATCAATCTGAGAGAACAGCTGCGAACAATTCAGCGCCTTACGAGTGCGTTGATGAATCCCACGTGGGGACTTCTTAGAAATCTACTTAAAGGAATAGTTCACCGTTTTTACATACTGACATATGTTCTTACCTTAGACTAGTTAATACGTATCTGTCTGGTCTTAGTCCGTGCGCTCTGTCATGCAAACGGAGCAAAAACGGGAGAGCACCAAAAAGGTAGCTCCCGCTAGAAGCTACCAAACTCTTCCAAGTGTTCCCTATTAAATGTATATAGTTACGTGACGTGTTACACTGCAAAGTATAGTAACACAGAATTATAACAGTCGATTTTCTCAGCGGATAAAACGGGTACTATATTGTGAGGCGTAGTAATCTGAGGTGCGCTACGTCCGCGCACTAACTTCTCTCCGGAGACTTCTCTCTCGCTCACTTCCGTCAATAGAAGCAGCGTGACTTGTAATACACACAGTAGCAGCGAGAGAGAAGTCTCCGGAGAGAAGTTAGTGCGCAGAGAAGTTAGGAGCGCTACGTCCGCGCACTAACTTCTCTCCGGAGACTTCTCTCTCGCTCACTTCCGTCAATAGAAGCAGCGTGACTTGTAGTACGGAGAGAAGTTAGTGCGCGGACGTAGCGCTCCTCAGATTACTACGCCTCACAATATAGTACCCGTTTTATCCGCTGAGAAAATTGACTGTTACATTTCTGTGTTACTATACTTTGCAGTGTAACACGTCACGTAACTATATACATTTAATAGGGAACACTTGGAAGAGTTTGGTAGCTTCTAGCGGGAGCTACCTTTTGGTGCTACAAAATATACAGAGGAGGCTGCATTTGTGGAGTGTGTGTCCTCCATTAAAGACTGGCTGGCCACTAACTACTTACAGTTAAATTCCAACAAAACTGAAACGCTCATCTTTGCTCCAGACCATAAGATCCCGCTGATCAAACAGCACCTTGGCTCTCTTGGCTCCTCCGTCAAATCCAGCCTCAGAAACCTAGGGGTTGTGTTTGACCAGGCCATGTCTATGGAGACACACTCCAAACAGCTCGTCCGTAACTGCTTTTATCACCTTAGGAACATTGCAAAAATCCGCAATATGTTGTCAAAGAATGATCTGGAAATGATCATTCACGCTTTTATTTCAACAAGACTTGACTATTGCAACTCTGTTTTTACCTGCTTGAATAAGTCTGCACTCAATCAACTTCAAATTGTTCAAAATTCTGCTGGCTAGACTTTTAACAGGTGCCCCTCGTAGGTCCCATATCACTCCTGTTCTGTCTGTTCTTCATTGGCTCCCAGTCAAATTCAGGATTGATTTTAAGATCTTAGTGCTGACCTTCAGAGCCTTAAATGGTCAGGCCCCCCAGTACATCCTGAACCTTTTGAGCCTGTACTCCTCTGGCCGTTCTCTCCGGTCCTCTGGCCAGAACCTGCTTGTGGTCCCCAAAACCCATTATAAGACTCGAGGGGACCGGTCTTTTCAGTCTGTTGCCCCCAGACTGTGGAACGCCCTGCCCCTGTCCCTACGTCTGGTCGACTCTGCGGACTCTTTCAAAAAAGGCTTGAAGACTTATTTATTTAAGAAAGCTTTTAGTTGATTGGGTTCTCACTTTTAAGTACATAAAATGTGTAATGTGTGTAAGTGTATTTTATATTGTTTGTATTTGCCCACTGTCCTGTACAGCACTTTGTGATTTTTATCTGTGAAAAGCGCTTTATAAATAAACTTTACTTACTTACTTACTTACTTGTGCTCCCGTTTTTGCTCCGTTTGCATGACAGAGCACACGGACTAAGACCAGACAGGTACGTATTAACTAGTCTAAGGTAAGGTAAGAACATATGTCAGTATGTAAAAACGGTGAACTATTCCTTTAAGGACAACTTGAGAAGAAAGTTGAGTAGTTTCTTACGAAGTTATTCGTGAATGAGGCCCATTATTGTTTGTGTTTTTTGACATTTGACTGGTTCTGCCTTTCCTCAGACTTTTGAAAAACTAATTATTCACTGTGGTTCAGACAGTGACGTGTTGGATGTAGATGAAGCATCTGTTGCCTCATGAATGTATATTGGGACCAATAATGCAGTCAGAATGAGTCACAGCGTTCAAGATCATAATAAAGAGAATATAAGAAAAACCTCAAATTGATGCATCATTTTAATTTTACAATAATAAAGCCACATGTTTATAATTGTGGTATTCATTCATTGTGCTTGTTAAAACGGTGACAGTCTTTGTGCTATCGCTTCATTGGGCATCACCTCCTGCATCATGAGCGATTGGATTCTGTGTTTTGTTTTGGGCAGAGGAGGAAGGCCCAGAATGTTGGCTACAGCTACGGTCGGTTTTCCTCAAATAAAAGAGCCGTCCCTTTTCAAGCATAAAACGTTTTGAAACACTTTAAAATTGTGCATGAATGGTTGCAGATTGAAAATCTCATCAAATCTATCACCTCATGGATAACAGGAGACACATCCTTATCACATTTGGGAGAAACCTAACCTTTGAGCTGGACTATCGCTTACCGGTTCATAATGAGTGAATGTGGGACAAAACAAAACGTTGGGACTTGGTTTCCTGTCTGTCCCAGTTATATTCAAAAGTCTCTATTACAGAAGTTTTTGAAGATTTGACGACAAGGCTGTTAATACTATAATATTGAAGGAGAATAAGTTTGACTGAGCGCTGCCTCGGACACGTTTGAAGCTGCGTCTCCACGTTTGCTCACACATTTTGCGGACAGTTGCAGCGGTCACCGGGCAGGCCCTTTCAAGCTGTTGCCGGCTCAGGCTGTGGTGACTCAGGAGGAGAGGGAGGCGGGCTCCACCTGGCACCACAGAAATGTGGCAGACAGGTGGTGCAGGAGGCTCGGGCATGAGGAGGAGGAAGAGGAGGAAGAGGCTCTGAGCTGCTCTTCACACATGTCGTTATGTGAACAAAACAACTGCTGGCTATGAGGCCGGAGGAGGAGGCCAAATCCTTTTCAAACCCATTTCAATGGATACACATAGAAAAGTTTTGAAGGAAATATGTGATGGGCTGAGATAATTTGACTTATAAAAATCTGTAAAGCAGTTTATTTCAGAAGTTTTTTAGAGGTTTAGAGGTACAAGAAAATCCAGATAACGATGCTTTACTTAGGAGTGCACCACCATATTCTTCAGTTCCAATTTAAAGGAATAGTTCACCGTTTTTACATACTGACATATGTTCTTACCTTAGACTAGTTAATACGTACCTGTCTGGTCTTAGTCCGTGCGCTCTGTCATGCAAACGGAGCAAAAACGGGAGCACAAACGCAGCCTCCTCTGTATACTGTGTAGGACCAAAAGGTAGCTCCCGCTAGAAGCTACCAAACTCTTCCAAGTGTTCCCTATTAAATGTATATAGTTACGTGACGTGTTACATTTCTGTGTTACTATACTTTGCAGTGTAACAGTCGATTTTCTCAGCGGATAAAACGGGTACTATATTGTGAGGCGTAGTAATCTGAGGAGCGCTACGTCCGCGCACTAACTTCTCTCCGGAGACTTCTCTCTCGCTCACTTCCGTCAATAGAAGCAGCGTGACTTGTAGTACGGAGAGAAGTTAGTGCGCGGACGTGGCGCTCCTCCGATTACTACGCCTCACAATATAGTACCCGTTTTATCCGCTGAGAAAATCGACTGTTACATTTCTGTGTTACTATACTTTGCAGGGTAACACGTCACGTAACTATATACATTTAATAGGGAACACTTGGAAGAGTTTGGTGGCTTCTAGCGGGAGCTACCTTTTGGGTACTATACAGTATACAGAGGAGGCTGCGTTTGTGCTCCCGTTTTTGCTCCGTTTGCATGACAGAGCGCACGGACTAAGACCAGACAGGTACGTATTAACTAGTCTAAGGTAAGGTAAGAACATATGTCAGTATGTAAAAACGGTGAACTATTCCTTTAAGTTATGAAAAAATACACCTGTGCACACTGGGAGCATTGCACTTGTGGAGCGCAGACTCCCGCCAAGAGGATTCAGAAGGTGATTCGGATCACCTAAATTAGCAAGTTGTCCTTTGTTTCCCATCTTTTCTATAAAAAAAACAAACATAATTGACTTATCATGCCAACTAACTAACTAACAACTAAAGGACGACATTCAAAAACACATCAAGATAAAATGAAATAATCTCTCAATACAATTTAATTTAATAATCATATTTAGTCTGATCGTTTTAAATTATATGTTTCTCTACTGTGCTCATTCTGCAGTTTTTCTTAAATAAAAAAACAGGTTTAATTTGTAATTTTTAAGATAATATTTTGTACGTAATAAGACTTTCTAACCATCACTGGTCACTAATGACAAACTTGGCTAATTAAGCCGCGCTCCATGGAGAGCATTTGTAACACAAGCGTCTAAAAGGTCCTTGTGCGATGGACCATTTCTCCAAAGCTCTCTGAACAGACAGGTCATGTCTGGTTCAGCTCCAGTGTCTCCTTTAAGAACGCCTTCATTATGATTTCAGTCCAGAAGAGTTGAATATTCATGACTCATTAAACCCTGTATTGCTCTGGCCTCTGTGCCCCAGCCCCATTGTGTCTCCCTCACCTAATTATACTCGTCCTTAAATGACAAACGGAGATAATGCTGCCAATAGACTTCCTGTAACTGGAGGAGCTGTTGCATCATGCAAACAGTTCAACAACAGCTAGAAAAAAACTGGACGTAAGGTGGAGGACAGAAGGTCACAACGTGACGCCATTCATATTGAAATGAGTTCATAACCAACGCAGCAGTGGCATCAACACATGAGCCTCGGATTGAAGAGTGCACTTGAAAAGAAGCTTCTATCAAAAATAACATGCTCTGAAAACCATACACTAAGATTTACACAAACTTTCTTTATTCATAAGTACTTTTTAATTTACTTTCTATATTAAAAGAGACTTTCTTTGCCATGTCATCAAGTCAGTTTCCATGGTGATCAAAGTGAAGTGCACTGGGTCCTGGCGACTCATCTACATATGTTGGTTCTCAGTTTGGTGAAGACGACCTTCACCGGAGGATTATAGCAACGGAGCATGCTTTAGGTGATGTGGTTTGAATTGGGGATACATGCAAACTCCACACAGAAAGACAGAGACCGAACCCACAAACTTCTTGCTGTTAAACATAAGTGCGTCCTTCTCAGTCGCGATCGGGTAGTTTTATTTAACGAGAGATGTCAAGGAAATTATGTGTTGTTACTTTGTTTAATTTATCTTTAAACAAATAAAACTATGCAGGATGAAAAAACTGGGCATTATCAAAACCTGAACAAATCACACAAATAAACTTGAATCTCAGTAATTATAAAGGTGCCTAGGTGTATGTAGAGAGAGATGTTTGACAGATCAAGTTACAGCTATGTGTATCTTGCATTTGTCTAGATTTCTTATTAAAAAGAAGAGAGTAAGTGTACAAGAATCAGACCATCAAAGCAACAATGATTCACTGTTCATTCGTAAAATGACATTTTTCATTTCCCCACGAGCATCTCCCTCAGTGCAGTGAAGGGCAGAGAACGTACCGGGCATGAAGGTGAAGCCTCCGGGCAGCTGCATCACGCTGGCAGATGGCCCCGCCGCCTTCAGGACCGTTCCGTTGGCGTTGATTCCACTGTTGGCCGACACTGGGGCCAGGTAGTTGGTGATGGGGTACCCGCTGCTCACCTGCATCGTGGTGGAGGTGGTGGGGATCGTGACCTGAGTACTGCTCACCGACCCGGGCAGGTTGGCGACGGTAAACGTGGGCTTCAGAGAATCCTGCGAGAGAAGAGGGACAAGGTTGGTAAACGAGTAAAGAAACGAGAGCTAAATGATAATGGAAAATATCACCCCAGCAGAGATTCATCCATTGTGTATTTTGATAACTGACTTGGGGCGACAGTGGCTCAGTTGGTAGAGCATTGGCCTTAGAGCTTGAAGGTCGTGGGTTCGAGCCCACCAACGACAGCAGTCATCAGGAGACCTACTTCATGACGAAGTAGGTCTCCTGATGACTGCTGTTGTTGTGTTATTGGGCAACACACTTAACGCCACTTTGCCTGAAGCCCCCGCTGAAAGATCAAGGCCCCTGTGGACTCACCACCTGCAGGAGGATCAGTGAGGGGCTGGTGCTCTGTAGTGGGTGCAGCTCTGACTGCCACCCCCCAACCCAGAAATGGATTTAGGGGAAGAAAATGGATGGGTGGCACTCTAAAACTTAATCTAAATGACAAAGACGGCAGGATTGTTATATTGTTAAAAACTGTTGACACGTATAGACAACACTTTTCACCCATTATTTCATTATTGAATCATTTAAACTGCAAAACTTAAAGACAAAAAATACATTTCATGTATTGCTAATGCTAACAGAATACAGTTAAAAACTGTAAAACAGCAACATTTGACAAATTAGTAACCTTGATTTTAACACATATTTGTGGCCTCCAGCATAACTTAATAAAACGTGGTAGCATTGAGATATTTTACTAAAATTATATGAATATTGCATTTGAACATTTAAATGGTCAATACTTCTGCCATAAATTGTTCAGCTTTCAAAAAGAGTGGACCAAAATCATCAGCAGGTGACAGATCTCCACTAGAAAAATGACAGGGTGCACATTAAACTGTAAATTAAAATACATAAGATAATACCGTTTATAGAAAATTATATTGATATGCCATAAACAAAAAAATAACATAACACAACAGGGCGGCACGGTGGCTGAGTGGATAGCACTCTCGCCGCTCAGCAAGAAGGTCCTGGGTTCGAATCCCGGTCGGACCAGGAGTTTCTGAGTGGAGTTTGCATGTTCTCCCTGTGTCTGCGTAGGTTTCCTCCGGGTACTCCGGTTTCCCCTACCACTAAAAATATGTCCAATAGTTCTGGCATGTGCTTCCTGTACTGGCGACCCCGCTCCCATCTCTGTGTGGAGTGAGAGACAAATGCCCAAAATTAACAATTGTAAACCGCTTTGAGACTCAGATCTGCAGTGAAAAGGCGGTATATAAATAAAGATTACTACTACATAATGGTTACATTGTGAACAGAAAAAGGATTACGTGATGAGACTATAAAAAACATGTTTCGTGCAGCTGTAGTTGTTTGGATCTGCAGTGAACATGGCAGAACTGAGACAGACAGCGACAAAATTGTAAAAAGTGAATTAAACAAAGCGAAGGACATTGTGGAGAGAGCAGGAGCAGGATGTGTTTGAGTGGGCTGACGAGAGCGGAGGTGGGCGTCAGGCTGAGCATCTTATCACAACACCACACCATTTTACTTTGGAACAAAAGAAAGCACGTAATGTGAATGTGCACGAGGCTCTGAAATGAGAGCAGAGCAGTTACAGATTTGCACCTTTGTGTCATAAGAGCCATTCATTTATACTATTAGTTTGAGTGAAAAGATTACTTTTTCTTTTTAAAAAAAAGAGACAATATGCACAATGAATATTACCAAAATTATAGTGTTGGCAAGCGAACCATTCTTGCTCCTGATTGGCTCTTTGGTTGCTGTGGAGGTTGCCATAAGATAATTTAGATTTTTTTTACTCAGCCTTTGAAGGTGGCAAAGTTGGCTCTTCTACCCCTTTGCACGACTTATGTCTATAATGTGAAATGTGACTAATTTGAGCATTGATAAAATATTTACATTACTACTACAGGAAATCTAGTAATCTTGAAATCTGAGATTTTCTGAAAAGTTAACTATTTTTTCGTCTTAGTCCGGTGACAAAGCAACGGCAAAGATCTGAAGAATAGATATTTATCTAGTTATTTATTATAATAAATATAATCACATTTATTAGCTGAACATTATTCGTGACTTTTGAAAACAGTACATTCTAATAATTCATGCAGAGCACATGAAAGAAACACGGCAGGGCAGCCGTTCTGAGGCTGAACATGTCATTCACATCAACAGCAGGTTTTCACTCAGGAGCAATTTCAAATTTGAATATTAAACACTTCTTTGAATTGCATTTTCTATCCTCATTAAGAACTGTGTTTAACACAGCTGGAGAAGTACAAGAATCTTGATAACCACTGATTTCCAATAGTGTTGCAAGTAAATGATGACAAAAGTTGATTAAGCAGAGAGCATAAACAAGAACATGATGAAATATTCAATAAGCGTGTTTCAGCTTATACGTCCCATTAAAGACAATAAGTGTGGAGGTGACAAGAACGGCGCAGAAATTAGGGAACATAGTGAACACGAACAGTGCACTGATCCAATAATGACAAAAAATAATGAGTGAAATACATTTTCCAGATACCTACAGAGTTAAAATAGGGAGACAACACAATTATGTCAGGACTAACTAACTTAAAAAAGTGACTAATTACATTAAAATGACATGAGTCGTTTGATGGCAAAAATAAAGTGTCAGAATATAAAATGAGAGTGGAGGATTATGAACAACCAACTGGTAAATAAAATGTTTTCATTCTTTCCACAACTTTCCTTTGAAATTGCAGTTGTTAAAATGTACAACTAACACTAACGGCTGAGTCTATAGACGTACAGACTCACCTGTTCTGATAATAATTCACTAGTCAATTTATCTGCTGCTATTAATACTATTGTAATTCTGGTCATATTCTCTGCTGCTTAAAGTGATAGTCCGGAACTCTAAATAAATTACATATTTTAAGAATTGTATTAAATTGACCTCCTGGGCTTAAATGTTGATATAAAATAAGTCACTTTATGAACTCTAACATTACGGGTACGTCCCGCCTTCCCTTCTCTTAGCTATAGCTCAAAATCTACAATTGCGGTCCAGTTTAACCAATCAAGTGATGCCAAGGGCTGTCAATCATCTGCGCCAATGCTCGTAGCTGCGCGCATGCTCACTTGTTTGTTTTCACGGAGCCTCCGAATCAAGCCTCCATTAGGCTCTGGAACAAGATAAAAACTGCAAATGTAAATGTAAACGTGCACTTTATTGTCCCCGTAGGAAAATTTGTCCTCTGCATTTGACCCATCCTGATGCCACTAAGGCTCCCGTCAGGAGCAATGGTTGCCATAGTAACAGCGCCCGGGAAAACAAAGAATTCTGAACATCCGCGCTAAGTTACCCATTTATATACTGAACCTACATCCATAATCATTTATATCAGAGGTGTCCAAACCGGTCCAGAAAGGGCCGCTGTGGCTGCAGGAGCAGCGCAGACTCCACCCATTTCCTCAAATCTTCAGGTTAAGACTGAACTCACCTGATTTATATACTGAACCTATATCCATAATCATTTATATACTGAACCTATATCCATAATAAGATCCTGCAGATGTGTCCTATAATGTTCAATTAATGATAATAGCTACTTCCGGGTTTACCACGATCGCTTTTATTGTGCATTAAAACATTATTTTTGTCATGAAAACTTTAACAAATCATTCTGAAAACCTCCGTGCATGTGTATTAATAATGTATATGTATAATGTGTTCTCTGATTAACATTTAAATGTTTTGGTTGATTGTTATGGAAACGTAGGCGTAGAACAATCAGAAAGGAAGGAGGAGGGAGCTTGGGTCGTTATTTTATTTCAAATCATGTACCTCTCTTTTTTCTGACAAACTCCAGACAATCACTTTAAGTGCAATATACACATCTTTAAATACCTCTGAACAAAGTGCAATTATAGCTCCAGAGTTTTATTTTTTTCTATTTAGTATTGGATTACTTTTATTTTTATTATCTTCGCTGCAACAGTAAAACTGTAGAGTTGGGTATCTGTTTGGCCTCCTTTTTACATGGAGACAGTGTTTCAGGTGAAAACGCAAGCGTTGAGAAACAGCCTCCAAAGTGGAACAGAACAGATACGGTGCTCAGAGGGGGCTGTGACGCGTGAGGAAAAAGGTGTGAATTCTCTGCCTGCTATGACTACCATTTCCCGTCACGTACATTTGGGCATGAACATTGTTGGACAGAACAAACGTAAACAACAATGGCGGCGGGTACACTAACTAGCTACGTGTGCTTTGAGCGCTACACGGAGGAGAATTCTACTCCTTTGTTCGTCCAAACAAAACCATGCAAAGCTGTAGTTCAGTTTCCATTTTCGCTGTTACTGTTAAATGCAGAATTATGTTGGTGCTTTCTTTCACGTCTTTGCGGCGCCTAAGGAGGATGTTGTTGAGGAAGTGAATATACTGCTAGAGGGGCTGGGCGTCGCATGTTGAGTTGTAAAGTTCCACTGCCCCCTACTGACCGGGCGCTAGAACTAGATTGTTTTCTGCCGCAAAAGGCAGATGGTTTTTGTTAACTGCTTTGCGGCCTCTGCACAGGGTCTGCCTAAACACGGCCTTATTTATTAACTTTTTATTCTACTGTAATGTGCGCAACGATGACACAGAAATGTCCCCACTGTGGGACAAATAAAGGACTATCTTATCTTATCTAATGCACATAATGTTGCAAGTTCACCCTATTCCACCTTTGCAAGCATTACAAACACAGAAGGTTGTTATCATACATCAAATAACATGAATAGCATACGCTGGTGTGAGAATGATCTCTCTGTACAGTAGCTCTGCGAGGGCATGCAGCTATGTTGGTTTTTATACGTGACTCATTAGATGGGTTAGAGGTGGAGGGCGGAGGATAAACTCCACTGTAGACGCACAACAAAATGCAAACACGTAACAATACAGTGTAGATTACCCTGAAACAGGGCTTTCCCAATGTTTCTCCCCAGAGAGCTTTTAGGGGGGAAAAATGGCAGTGAGCAAAATCTTTTAAACTGTACAAAAAAAAAGCAATAA